CTGGGAATCGAACCCGGGTCCTCTGCAAGAGCAGTCAGTGCTCTTAACCACTGAGCCATCTCTCCAGCCCTGAAAGCTTTATTTTTTTAAAAAAAAAGTATATCAGGAAAAAAAAAATCTTAATATGGTAAATATCTTTTTTTCCTCAGGGTTTTCCAGCACCTTCACGGGAGAAAGGAGACCTAAAGATGACCAAGTATTTGAAGCATTGGGAACCACAGATGAATTAAGTTCAGCTATTGGGTAAGGGAGACAGGATTGGCCTTGAGGTCAAGTTGGTGTGGAACAACAGTCAGTGTCACAGTGTGAAGTTTTCATGAGTGTTGGGGGGCCCTGGAGATTGCCTTGGATAGACAGGACCAGTAGCAATCATAGGCCTGTCAACTCCATGGGGCTGCAGGCTGTAAGCCTGTCTCTCTGTCACCATAGGAAGCTGCTTTCTCCTTCCCTCCATCCACGGTTTCCTCACTTTTCAGGTGAGCACGTGTGCCATCAGGATGAAGGCAGTGAAGGCAAAGTGCGAGCGCTGAGCTCCTGCAGTCTGCATTGCATCAGGTGTGACACCTTTCAGGAATGTGGATTTTTAAATGAGCCAGAGTTTAGAAGGTTTACTTAAGGAATCAGTCAGGATGGGCCAGCTCATGCTGTGATTACCATCTACCTTCATCTCTTACAGTTTGCAACACCAGAGAATTATTTCCCACTCTTACTTCAAGCCCATTGCATGCTGGCTGTTCCTCTGCTAAATACAGCCTTATCTTTGGCACCCTGGCTGATGGGACACCTGTCTGACTGATACCAAGTCCTGGTGAAATACTGTCTCCTAAAACTTCCTCTGTTACACCTCACTATTTCATTGGCCAGAACCATTCACAGGGATGTGTCTGGCACTGTGGTGGAGGAAGGGCCACATGTATGGAGGATGATGGTTCAGGCCAGCATGCTTGGCCACACTGAGGGTGTAAGCAGTGTCGGGCTCAAGTGCTGTCCTGGAGATCCCACCTGACCCTGCAGTCATAGATCCATGGGACTCATACAGACCTGGGTTAAAATTCTGTACCACTGCTCACTAGCTATGTGACTTCAGGCAAATCGGCTGGCCATTCCAAACCTCAGTTTACCATTCTGTGAAATGATCATAGTAATACTTCTTTTGCGCGTCCGTGGATTAAATCCAGGACAGTACCTAGCACAGATAGCAGTACCATTAGCTCTTATCTTCATCATTGCCAGGATAACTTCCGCCTCATAGCTGCCGTGGTGAATGGACTAGGTGATTTTCAGGACAGACAACAGCAGGTCAAATGGCCCCCTCTCAGGGTAGAGAAGGCAGGGCCTTGGTGTGGTGGGGACAGGAAGGGAAGCTAACACAAGATGAAGTAGGCACAGGGGAGGCAAGGTAAGTTCTAACTTCTGCTTACCAGATTGGCAAATCATGGTTGACATGGGCCAGGAGATTGGTCATAGGTCTAAGCTGTGGATTCTTATCAGAGCACTTCTACATATCAGACACCGCTAGACAACACTGTCCTGCCTTTGCAGAGCTACAGACAGGTGCTGCCTAGGCAGCCACACATAGTGGAACAAGTAACCAGGGCCTGAAGCTGGCCTGAATCCCACAACACCCATCAGTAAACAGATATTTTTTGATACCTGCTAGGTGCCAGGTGTGGGTGACAAAGACAGTAACTCAGCCTTCTCAGCCTTTCCCTGCCATCCAGGGAGGAGACAGATTTTAGTAGCAAACCCCTAGTGTGTACCCTGTTCTGACTGGAAGAGGGGCTGACTGTTCTCCATTCATCCTGCCCTGTAGCCCCAGCTGGCCTAGCACTCAATGCATAGACCAGGTTGGCCTTCATCTCACAGAGGTCTGCCTGCCTCTGCCTCCTGAGTGCTGGGACTAAAGGTGTGTGCCACCGCACCCAGCTAATTAATTTTTATTTTATGTGTAATAGTGTTTTGCCTGCATGTATATAAGTATACCACATGCATGCAGTGCCTACAGAGGCCGGAAGAGTGGCATCTAATCCCCTGGAACTGGAGTTATGGATGGTTGTTAGCTGCCATGTGGATGCTGGGAACTGAACCCAGGCAGGTCTTCTGAAAGAGCAGACAGTGTTCTTTTTGTTTATTTGTTTGTTTGTTTGAGACAAAATCTTCATGTGTTCCCAGCTAAGCTGAAACTTGCTATATAGACCAGGCTGCCATCACAGATCCTCCTGCCTTTCCTTCTGAGTAGGGCTTAAAGATGTGCACCATCATGCCTGGCCCCAGCCAGTGCTCTTAACTACTAAGCAGCCCGAAGCCTGCTCCTTTCATTCCTCGCTTTAGCACTGGCTACAGGGTAAGCGTCCTGTCTGATGGGAGCACAGGTCTCTACCTCCTGCTGGACAGACCCTGGCTCACCTTCTGCTCTCCACTGTATCAACAGGACCCTGCCAGAGCAGGTGCTCAGAAAGGAACCCTTGACTGGGACTAATGAGTATAAGAAAAAACACTTTGAAAGACAGGTGCCCTGGCCAAATGATGTCATTGTCAGGAAAGAAAACTGCCGTGGCCATTGTTGTGCATTAGCGCATCGACTCTCAGCAGCATTCTGTCAGAGGCCTGTTCTTCCTTTTCCTCATAGGTTTGCTGTGGAATTAATCACAGAAAAAGGCCACACATTTGCCGAAGAGCTTCAGAAAGTAAGTCCACCACCTTAGCACCGTCCCCCACCCCCTACCATCCAATGGGGCTTTTCATCCCTGTGGCCTGTGGCATCCCTGGCTCCATCCTCTGCCCTTTGCTTCCTCTTTGTCCCTGGGGCTACTTACTCCTTCTGCAAATCGCAGTTTTCTCATCGTATGAGAACAGATAATCCCCTGTGTAGGTGAGGGGTGGGGATCTTGGTGAGAGGAGTATAAAGGGCAGCTCTGTCCCCCAAGAGGTATTCAGCAATGTTGAAGGACATTTGTGGTTGTTACATCTGACAGTGGGTGTATTCTGGCATCTACCAGCTGCAGCCCAGGGGCAACTAAATATCCTCCATTGCACAGGACAGCTTCTTGAAAAAGGATGACTTAGTGCCAGTGGCCACAGCCGCAGCTGAATAGTTGTGTGCTCAGAAGCCGGGGTACCTAAGCCTCAACCTGAGGGACTCAAGCCTGTTAGCCTTGCTGTCGAGTTCCAATAGAAACAGTCAGACATGGAGGCAACAGCATCACTCTAGAGCACCTTGGGGTACCTGAGGCCGCACACACATTGGTCTTTGTCAGGAAAGGGCCCAGGCTTGGTCCTACGTGAATTTCCAGGAGCAGGCAGGCATCCTTCCTAAACCTCCCTGTGCGTGTTGACCACCACCCTCTACCTCTTTGTCCTTTACCATACAGGTGGCACTGTCACATTTGGTGTCTTGTTGAAACAATTCAGAACCCCAGAGGTGTCCATTTAGAGGAAAGAATGCAACCCCATGTGGGAGCTGTGAGTCAGGTCGAGAAAGTCCCTGTTGACCACCATTGTGGCACTTGTCAGGGCCTTTTCCTCCCTCAGCCATGCAAGGGCCCCCTCAATAGGGCTGGTGGTGCTAAGGGTTTGCACAGTTAGCCTTTGAACTCATGGGTCCACCAGCTCCTCGAAACCCATGTTCAATGGCGCCTCTGCATGAGGAAGTACTCAATTTCTACCCAGCCTTCTACAAGCCACCGTCTCACCTCTTGTCTCCTAGATCCAGTGCACGCTGCAAGACATTGGCTCTGCCCTGGCCACTCCACACTCCTCTGCCAGAGAGGCACACTTAAGTAATTCCCAACCCTGTGGGGCATACTCAGGGCCCTGGGGTGGGGGCTGTCCCTGAGTGTTGTCAGCTGGGAACCCAGTCCCCAGGACCCCTTGGCTAGCCAGACAACCTTGCTTTCTGCTTGGGAGAAAAGGTACCCTGGAAGCTGATGGAAGTAGTTTGAGGGACACCCTGGCAGAAGGGCTAGGATATTCTGTGGGGTACCTCATGACAGTGGCCTTTCTGCCCTTGATTCCTCAGAACACACGGCCTTCGAGGCAAGCCCCATCCTAGAACTGGAGCAGTGGATTGACAAGTACGCCAGTCAGCTCCCCCCACTCACGGCTTTCATTCTTCCCGTAGGTATTGGGGACCTTCTACCCGGGATGGCCACGGGTATAGGGTGTGCCCAGCTGGGCCCTTGGAGGCTAAACACTGCCCAGTATATGGCAGTATCTGGCCACCAAGGCCTCCCCAGCCAACACCCACTTTCTCCTTTCAGTCTGGAGGCAAGAGCAGCTCAGTACTACACTTCTGTCGGGCTGTGTGCCGCCGAGCCGAACGATGGTAAGAGGACCAGGGGTCACTGTAGGGAGTCTCATCATACTATGCCACCCAACCCTTCCTCAGGTGTCTTCACTGTACCAGGGATAAGGACAGACCATGTCCCTGTCCTCAGAACCCTACATTGCAGAGGGACATGTGATAGATGATTCCATACTGCTCAGGGCCCAGCAGATTTTTGCCTCCTCGTGAGAGCCTCAAGAAGCCAATGATACATTTTCTGTCACCCAGAGGGGTGACATGAAGGGACCCTATTAGTGGTTGGGAATAAGGGCCTGTAGAGGCTATGTGGCTAAGAGGGACCCAGGTGGAAGCTGTCCACAGCTCAGCTACCTGCTGGCCCAGCCTCATCCATTTAGGAGAGGACGGACCCCTAAAAGGTGCTGACAAGCTATTTTAGGACAGCTTCCAAGAGGAGGTGCAAAATGCCTATTTATACCAGCCCTCAACCAGGCTGCCTGTCCTATGAGAGTGAAAATAAAGCCATCCTCGTGCTGGCCACTGTGTTAAGAGTCTCATGGCAGCACTGCTCCACAGGAATCAGGAGCAGGCTAGAGAGGTGACGTGGCTGGGGTCACCCAGGGGACCTATGACAGAGTGTAGGTTTGTACCCTGGTCTACTAAAGTCAAACTCAGCTCTTTCCACAGCCCCCTATACTACAAGGGTTTTGTCCTACAATATAAGGCTCTTGGCCCCAGACAGACTTAGACACATTCTGGGTAATAAAAAGAGTTTGGGCCTCCAAAGAAAAATAGTCATTTGTATAAAGCCACTCATGTCATCAGGGTCAAATTAGTAAAACAGTAGAATGACCCTCAGGCCCAACATAGGATATGACTGAATTGCTGATAGGTCCTCAGTGCAGCAGACAGGCTCCAAGCACAGCAGTGACCAGTGAGTGTGCTCTCAGGTTGAGAGGTGTGTTGGTGGATGCCTGGACAATAAAACACCATGCCCAGCGGGTGGTCTTACAGGCAAGCCTGGACATGCTTGTGCCTAGGCCACTAGCCTGATAGTCTTGGAATGGGGCAAAGGTCTCCCAAGCTGGATCCTGGGAAAGTACCTCCCCAGCAAATGTTAGGCCACAGGGGTATGTGTATGCCACTGTGCCCAAAAGATAGAGCTACTGTCCCAGTGTCTGCACAAATTGGCACAGACCCCTAGCAGTTCAGATTCACAGTGCAAAACCCAGCCCTTTGATTGAGGGCCAGATATTCCGTCATTGAAGGCTGAAGTCTGACAGCCCCACCCATGAAAAAGCACAGACCAGACCTAGTGGCACAAAGGCCAGCAGGCTAGGATGTTGGCAGCCTGCCCTCCTCAACTTGCCCAACATACTACATGCTCTGTCCCTCATCAGCCAGGCTTTGGTTTGTCCAAGTCAAGAGGATTGCATGGGCCAGTGGTGCTAGATTTTCTTTATCTGGGTTGTATTTGTTAAGGTTGGGTCTGTACAGGTGAGGTTAAATAGTGATATGTGTCACAGGCACCTTTGTGTTGAGCCCTACTTTGTAACCTGGCCATGTTTCCTCTCTTCACAGTGTGGTACCTCTTGTCCAGATAGGAGAGACTGATGCAAATGTGGCCAAGTTCTTAAACAGGTACTTACACAGAATGTGGTGGATCTTGCCCCTGAATAAAACAGGCACTTAGGAGAGCCATAATAGCATTTTAGTGGGTTCTAAGAACAGCCAGGGCTGTGCCCACACATTCATTCACTTCCTCATATATGAGTGTCTGCTGTATGCCAGGCTCATAGGAGGCAGCCTTGTCCTTTTCCCTGTGAGGCCATGCTCTTGTTCGAAGATCTGGTTGGAAGATGCCTGTAAAAGTCAGCAGAGACATACAGAGTGGTCTTAGGGACCGCTTATGGAGACTGAGAACCAAAGAATCTTGCTGGTAACCAACATCAAGCACAGGAGTCTAAGCCTATCTAGCCAGCCTCTCCTCCCCAAAGTCCCTGGGCAGCGCATAGGTATGGCAAGCTTAGCTCAGTCTCTAGTGCAGGAGACAGTGAGCCAGGCTAAGCCAGGAGTCCCCTGCCCTGTAGTCAACTTCTGTAGCCCGCAGCTGTGCTGCTGGTTTATACTGCAGCCTAGCTCAGGTGGTGCTGGTGTGAGCTGGACTGGAGCCCAGAAGCAGGCAGAGAGGGCTGGTGGAAACCCAGGAGTTATACTCCAGGAGCTGCTTAGTTGTGAAGAAAGTGACCTCACAGCCCCTGACTGTTTGACTATCCCCTCCTGGGACATGGATTGGGCTTGGATCTTCATTGACCCCTGTCCTCCTGGGTAGGGTGTCACCGGGCCATCAAGTGAGAAATGGCTTCTTTTGAGCTTGGAAGCATGCCCCTGGGGATGCCTGCTGGGCCCATAGGGTCCTGTGGGTCAGGGAAGGTCATCCTCTCCCTGCAAGTTTGAAGGAGCCGTTGAGAAAGCAGCACATCACTGCTGCTTCAAGACAGTCAGCAGTGTGCCACCAGGAGTTAGGAGGAAGCGACCAAGAGGCAAGGAAGGTTCTGTGGTGCTTGCCTCAGGGTAGGAGGGGAGCAGGAAGGTCTGGAGAAGGTTGCCATACTTGTGACGCTGTGAGGGTTGGGATGGAGGAGCTCAGTAAGCACCTCAGAGGCTGGCACAACATCGTCTCCATGTTCTCTTCCCCTTGTTCTACTGAAAGCCTCTTGCCCTGAGCCCACCACTCCTGGCTCACAGGAAGAGCAAAGGGACTAGGCTCTGTCTGTGTGACTACTCCAGGCCAGTGATTCTTGACCAGGACATCAGCAGTATCTAGAGACACTGGGTATCAAGGGTGCTACTAACATCTAGTGAGTAGAGACCAAGGATTCCACTGTCCACCCATATGCACAGGAGAGCCCAACCATAAAGGACGATCCAGAATCTTGGTTGTGCGAATCTCAAGACCCTCCTAGGGCCTCTTTATTCAAAGTGTGATACAGTAGTGCTTGGATTGGGATTTGACCTGTAGACTCCCAGGCCTGGCACAGCCCTCCTGAATCCTAGGTGGTCTGTGTTCACACTGGTTTGGAATCAGCAGTACCTATCACTGGAAAGCACAGAAACCAGCTCAGAGAGAGGCCTAGAGTCCACATAAGGGGTTAGGCTCTGCCCACAGGAACACTCTAGGAGTGTACCAGAGTCCCACCCGTGGCTCTCATGAAAGCTGACCTGTAGTACCACCCATCACACTAAATGGGCCAGGCACCTACCATTTGCTCCCCCCTGAATGGTGCTCCTGGGGGGCACAGAGCACCTTGAAGGCTAACAAGGCAGAAGCCCGTTGGCATTGCTCTCTTGTCTCATATTCTTCCCATCACCTCTCTCTGCCACTCCAGACTCAGTGATTACCTCTTCACCATAGCCAGATACGCAGCCATGAAAGAGGGCAACCAAGAAAAAATATACAAGAAACGTGACCCATCGCACCCAACCTGAGGCACTTTGAAAGATGGTACCCCCCCAGGTGACCACAGTGAACTGTGTCCTTGCCATCTTACCAGACCCTGGTTCCAGAAGAGCTCATCCCAAGGGACTGGAAACAAGCCTCAGCACAAACTCATACCCTTGCCACTTCCCCAGAGGGACCTCTGAGACGCTTGCCTCTTCTCCAGACTGTCCTCAGAGCAAGTGGGACTGAATTCAGAATTGCAGAAAAGAAAAGTAATTAAAGGCTACAAAAAAGGGAGCTGTGTGGAAGAGAGAAAAGGAGGGAAGGTTTGAACCTCGAATGCAGGTGTGTGTGTGTGTGTGTGTGTGTGTGAGAGAGAGAGAGAGAGAGACAGAGAGAATGTTCCTACTGCCACCTCGAGCTGTTCAAGGATTTGGAATGGTACCAGAGGCCCTTGGAAATGTAATTGTGATTTACCTGTGCCAAAGGGGCTTTAAATGTCACATTTATAAAGGGAAGGCAGGCAGGCTTGAGAAGTTTAGTCACCTCTGTACCACCTATCACTGCTCCAGTGTGGGGAAAGGACAGCTGCAGATCCACAGGCGGGGCTCAGAGAGAGAGAGAGAGAGAGAGAGAGAGAGAGAGAGAGAGGGAGGGAGGGAGGGAGGGAGGGAGGAAACAACGAATGAACATGCATGTGTGCAGCTTGGAGAATCCTATCAGGGACGGAGCCGGGCAGCTCTTTCTGCCCAGTCAGTGGCAGAAATGAGGTCGTCAGGTTGCTGCAAGGCTGACACTGGCAGGCTTGGCTCTGATGTTGCACTTGGCTGGTTTATGCCTCTTTGATCTGCACCATGGCTGTTCTGCTTGTCACCGCTGCTCCCTCCCTCTATGAAACCACACTGCCAGTAGCAGCTGTGTCCTTGGGACGAGAGATATTTATGAAAGGCAGAGAGGCAGTCTGAGAACCCAAGGATTCCATGCCTAATGATAAACAGTGACTTGGGAAGGGCAGCAGAGACACCTGGGGTCTCAGTTCAGCAATCATTTCTTTACTACATGCCTGCTTAGTGCACCTGAGCACCCTCACTCCACACTGGGTGCAGGCAGACTGGCCAACTTCCTTGCTGGCCAGTCAGCAAGCATTTGATTTCAGTCTCACACATATTCTTGCCCTCACCACCTTCTTGCTGATTTTGCAGATAGGGCAAGTTCATTTGTGTCTTCTGGGTCCTGAGGTACAAATGCCCAGGATGGAGAAATACCCTGTGGGAGGTGGCCAGTCCAATGCCACTGCTGGTGACATAGGCCCCAGCCTGGTACAGGGTTGGTGTTCCTTGTATATACCAGGACCAGAAATAGAAAGAGCTGGCCCAGGGTGCTTAAGCACTGTGCCATCACTCCAGGCCTGGCCAGGGAACTGATGTTTCAAGAACTTGTCACAGTCACTCCATTCTACCCACAATGCCAGGTCTTCTCAAAAACCAGGATGAACTCAAGAAAATAGTAGCCCACCCTTCCAGACAGGAAAGCGTTCAGTGCCCCAACACCCTGCCAGGCTTTTATGAGCAGCGGCATTCAGGCTCCAGGCTTCCATCTCTGGAGCCATCTTCCCTTCCACCAGCCGACATTCCTGAGAGCACCCAGGTGCAGGGCAGGTGTTTCCATCACCAGCCTGGGAGGAAGGGAACAGAAAGTGTGTGGGGCCTGCGGAGAGACTGGCTGCCCAGAGGCTTGCTTTGGTGCACTGCCTTCCACAACCACAGGGCACCAGGCAGATGGAAAATGTTCCCCAACATACAGTGATCAAAATATCCAGGACTATTTTAAACCAAGTGAGAAAGCAAATAAAAATTCTTCAGTCAAAAGCCACAAGTTTCTAGAAAGCCCCATGTTGCCCAACCTGTGTGCACACCACCTGCAATCCTTGAAGTAGATCCTTCCCATTGCACAGTACAGACTTGCAAAACAACTGCCTGCTTACTACATGGTTTATCATTATCTCCTTTTGCATAATCCAACTTTTGAAAATACTGCATGAAGGCTGCTCATCCTCAGTGCCCAGTGTCTGCTGCTTCCACACCTCACACCCAAGAAATTACCTCAGCCACCTCACCATAGTCCAGGTTGGGTTCCTTAGAACTACTGTTCATCATTACCAGGAGTGAACCCCCACAGTGATGCCAGCCAGCACCGCAGAAGGGCTCCAGCCAAGTGCTCCACATGGGACCTTATCTAGCCCTCACAGAGCCACTGGGGACGTGAGTGTTCACGTTTGTTCAGGAGGGGAAATTGAGGCTCAGAACTGATTTAGGCTGTGGTCTCATGACTTCCAGCCCACCAGCACTTGACAGTTATTTTAATCATGACCTGGGCCATAGCGAACAACCCCAGGCACTAGTAGATCATGCTGTCATATCTCTCAGCCAAGTTTCCCTTAACTGATATTTCATGGCTATTGTTAATGTGCATTTTTCACTGAGTAATTTCCACAGCCCAAACTTGTAGCACATCCCAATGACAAACGTCCCCAGTTCCGAGTCTCCTGTCAGCTGCAATGTCACCCTCACCTCCTTCCCGGCACCTCCCGACAGCCCATCCGGTTTTATGATCACACTGTCCCAGCAATCACTATTGAACCTTTAAGAATCCAGACGCATTTCAAGTTTAATTGAATAAAATTCTTTGTATAATAAATTCCACACGAATGCTACATAAATCAGTGCTTGGAAAGATTTGTGGCTCATCCTTCTCTCCCCAGATGGGATTTGAGCATCTCGCTGGCAATACTGTGGCCAAGCTGGTCCTGTCTTGATCACTGAGAATAAATTTGCCTTTGTAGTCAGGAAGGGGTGTGGTTTCCATTGCTGTTACACAGAGCTCTTCTCTGAGTCCCTCCTGGAAGATGGTGCTTTGTCCTGGCAGAGCAAGGGATGAGCAGACTGGGGGGTCCAGGAGCTTTGTGGGTGACTCTTATGTTCACTCACTTTATGGAATCAGGAACTTTCAAAGCCATCACTTGTCACCCTTGGAACCCTAAGTGTGCACTATCTAGGTAGATGCCAAGTTTGCATATGTCCCGTAAGTCCAAGGAATCCCAAGGGCAGAATCAAGGCACACGCCTGTCGCCCCCAGCCACCTAGAAGGCTGAGGCAGGTGGATTGATGGAACCTGGGAATTTAAAACCAGCCTGGGCAACATAGCAAGAGCCTGTCTCAAAAGGCAAAAGTAAAAATATTCTCTTAGGGAGCTAAGTGGGGATCCACAGGGCTGCCTCATCTAGCAGCCTCTTGGGGATTCATGTAGCCCATAACCTTGAAGATGAGAAGGAATGCTTGGGGCTGGTAGAGAGATTTCTGGGGGACTTGGATGTTTGCAAAACCTGGAAGGATGGCAAATGATCATCAGAATATGGCCAGGATTGCAGGAGGGCTCCACTGTGTCTGTCTCTTTTCATCATTTCTAGCTGGAAATAATAACACCAACTTCCTGAGGCTTGAGGCTCACTCACATTGCCAGCTGTATGGCTGGACCATTTTATCCTCTTCAAAGCACTTTCTGAGCTCTAGGCCTGGCGGCTTTGACCAGGGCCCTGTGTCTCAGACTCTAGAACCAACACCTCAGCAGCATGGCTCTGTTGCACCATGAGGCCAGGCTTGCTGATGGAGGGAGGGTTAAATGGCCTTCAGAGGGGCTGCTCACATTCAGGCCAGAGAAAAAGGCAGAGAGGCCAGTTGCAGAACAAGGAAGGCTGGGACCGCACAGATTGTTGGCTCATTTTAGAAGCAGGTAAACTGAGGAGGCCCAGGAAAGAGGATTTAGTAGGCACATGTAGATAATATCCACAGGTTCAGCCTTCACTGCTTGGAGGCATGTGACTAAGAGCTTTACAAAATAGCACATTGAATTGTTCCAGCAGCCAACAAGGGTAGAGGTACCTACTTTGCCACCATCTCCAACTTACAAACAAGGAGGAACCTGAACCCCTGACAGGAGAGATGGCCTCCCCAGGTCATTTCTCTAGGTATGGAACCAGGCTTTGAACCAGGGTCTTAGACCTCAGACCCCAGGACCGGAACTTACTCAGCACAGGCACTGTTCTGTTGTACCACAAGCCAGGTTTCTTCTTTTCTTTGAGATGGAGACTTGCTTTGCTGCCCAGACTGTCCTCAAATTCTTGGACTCAAGTGATTCTTCTGCCTCAGCCTCCCCAGTAGCTGAGTCCACAGGTACAGGCCTCCCAGCAGTGCTTGGTTTTTTAAAAGTGTTTTTTTCCTCAGAATCAGTGAGTGTGTGCAGTTATCGCCCCATTTGAGGTGGGGAGACAGAGATTCAGAGGGGCAGGGTCCTGTGTTCAAAGCCCACGTCTGCTGGGGAGACTGTCATGACCATGTCATCACAGACTGATGGTGGTTTTTACGCTTTTACATGTGTAGCCTTTTTGTTTTTTGCCCCAATTTAAATTAGAGATTCTCCTGCCTCGACTTCCCATGTACTGGAATTACAGGCATGTGTCACCATGCCCAGGCCACATATGGAACTTTTTTTTACTGTGTATGAGTGCATGCAATGCAATTCCCAAAGAGAACAGAGGCCAGAGAGAGTATCAGATCCCCTGGAACTAGAGTTACAGACAGTTGTTAGCTGCCATATGGGTGCTGTGGATCAAACCTGGGTCCTCTGGAAGAACAGCAAGTCCTCTTAATCACTGAGCCATCTTTCCAGCCAAGGGGATTGTTACATGGGTAAAAGTGCTTGCTGCGAAGTCTGATGTCCTAACTTCAATTTTCAGAGCCCATGCCATCTGGTGGAAGGAGAGAACTGATTCCCACAGTTGTGCTCTGACTTTCATACACATACACACACACACACACACACACACACACACACACACACACACACACACACACACACACACAGAGAGAGAGAGAGAGAGAGAGAGAGAGAGAGAGTAAAAAAGTGTTTGCACCATAGCTAACCCAGAGAGAGCACCTTGCCCACAGTAGCACAGTAGCCCCTCAAGCTGCCTTTAGCATCTTTGTGTCGGAAGCTGAGAAGCGGAGGTGCTGGGAAACAGCACAGAGGCTGGTGCCATGCAGCAAAATCTACCCCAGCCCAAGAGAGAGAGAGAGAGAGAGAGAGAGAGAGAGAGTAAAAAAGTGTTTGCACCATAGCTAACCCAGAGAGAGCACCTTGCCCACAGTAGCACAGTAGCCCCTCAAGCTGCCTTTAGCATCTTTGTGTCGGAAGCTGAGAAGCGGAGGTGCTGGGAAACAGCACAGAGGCTGGTGCCATGCAGCAAAATCTACCCCAGCCCACTCTTACCTCTGCATAGGCACTCACACTGCCCTTGTCTTTCTGTGGCCAGCAACAGGGCCTGGACAAGGACCCTGGTCTTCAGATTCCGGAGTGGCCTCCTTGGGCACTTAGCTACTAGGGTGTGATTGACAGCTAAGTGGGGCAGGCTGCTTCCTTAGGGGAGGAAGAAAGAGTTCAAGAAATCCAGAAGGACCTTATTGTTCCAGCCAGAAGTCACTCTAAAGAAAACTGAGAAGCGGGTGCCAGTACAGGACAATGGCACCTCAGAGAACCCACCCATCCCCCTGACTCCAGACCCAGGGGTGCAAGGTGACCTCTCTTTCACCAGACCCAGCAAAACAACTCCTAGTGGCTGCTCCCAAGTTACAGGCCCTCTGGTCCTCATCACTGGCCATATGCAGTGCCCACACCCTCCCCGGCTGGCAGGTGTACCTTTATTTACGATCACCTTGGAAGGGTCGAGCCAGACATATGTTGCTAAGGGTCGTTTATTCTTGTTTATAAAATTTATGGCTTCACCTCTATTACACACTGTCAAAACGGAAGGATCGGCCCCAAAGCCTCTTGCCGCCTCACTGCCTCAGACGTGCGTACATCTGTTAACTCTGTAGGAGCTGTACAGGGAAATACAGTTCGCTATAACTCAAAAGCTCGCTGTCCTGCCATGAGGTGTGCATGGCAGGCCTTGAGCAGACACCTCCAGGCATGTGTGTGGGAAGGGAGGTGGCTGGTGACTGGGTGGCCATGCCAAGTGGCTGGCTGCAAGACACTGCTCTGGACGGGCCATGGACTCTGACAAGATGCTTTGAGCTGGGAAGGACAGGAGAGAGAACTTTCTTTTGATGGCCTTCAGGAGTCCAACTGCAGGACTTCAGCAGCTGGAGAGAGTGTTGAGCCTGTGGCTCTCTACCTGGCGACTTTAGCAGGGAGAGAAACATGACTCTCTGGTGTGAAGGAGTGGAGGTGAGCAGGAATTTCAGGACATCAGGAACATGTACAAAAGGCCTGGGAGTGTGCCTCCTACGGCCTGTAAGTCCACGTCTGATCATCTCTCAGAAGGAAATAGATCCGTCAGTGGAGCCAAAAGGGTTTTATTCTGCACAACGTTGCTCATTACAGTGAAAAATTGGACACTGATGTGCAAATTAGTGCCTGATCTGCCTAATCACCTAGCAGCTAGGTGATTAAACTAGTGCAATATTTAATAATAAGGGACCTCGAGAAACGTCATGACCACTGAACATACTACTTTTCAAAAGTGCTCACTTGATAGTAAGCAGTGACGGGATTCGGGACAGTTACAAAATGTTATGTAAAGAACAATCAAAATTCTATAAATATGAATGTGTGTATACACCACAGAAAACTTGCAGGAATCCATTCCATACATTAAAAACATTTAGCGCTAAGTGATGTGATCATGGGTTTAGCCCTCATCTGGCTCATCTGAATTTTCCAGTTTTCCTACAGTGGACTTAGTTTGGATCTGATAAGGGATTACTTGTTTAAGAGACACAGGAGAAAGAGGCAAGTGAAAACCAGGGCTGGGATGTGGTTCACTCGGTAGAGTGCTTGTCTAGCATGTAGGAAGTCCTGGGTTTGACCTCAGCATGGAATAAACTGGGCATGGTGGAGCATGTCTGTAATCCAAGTACTTAGGAGGTGGAGGCAGGAGAATCAGGAGTTCAAGTTCTAGCAAGGTTACATAGCGAGTTTGAGGCTAGCCTGGTCTAAAAAAGAAAAAGAAAAAGTGAAAACACATCCTTCTGCCTACGCTGTATCATCTTTCTCCCTTGGGATGGCTGGAGGCACTGCAGAAGCCCCTGGAAGATGACATATCCCTAGAGCCTCCCCCATCACCTATGGGTGACCTCTGCTAGCCAGCCTGGAGAAGACAGGCTATGTTCTTTTGTCGGAGGCGGCTGGCCTATGAATGCAGGTGCTTGAATGCAGGTGCTATGAATGCAGGTCCAGCCTATGAATGCAGGTGCTTGGCTTCTACTCTAGGGCAATAGAGGAGGGAAGAAAAATGTTCTAGGCTTCACTGAAGTGCACCGCCCCCACCCCGGGGCAGGGGCAATCACATTAGCATCTCATCCAATAGTTGAGGACATTGCCGTTCCTCCCTCCTCTGTTGGTGACTGCATCTTTCGTTTGCTCAGGGCTTGAGGGTACACAAAGAACTTTCATACTTATTATCTTGTGGATTTGCATCCTGGGTCATCATCCTAATTTCCCTGGGACAAAGGGACACATTGACAGGAAGAAGGATGAGGTCAATGAGGCACAGTCAGCAAGTGTAAAACTAGCACCTTTCCAGCCTCCAGTAGTGGCCTCCAGTAGTGGCCTCCAGTAGCGGCCTCCAGTAGCAGCCCAGCCTCCAGAACAGACCCTTCTCTGTTCTGCTGTGAGCCAGGAAGGGTTTACTCCAGGAAGAGAAGCCAGTTCTAGTTTCTTGTTAAGAAGAAGCTGGTGGCTAAATTCAATCTGGAGGAATTTGGTAATCTATTAGTAATGTCTGCCTTGGCTTCAGAGGGAGACATAGAATAATGGTGTTTTTGATACTTCTGCAGCCCCTAGGGTAAAACCTTCACTGATCTCAAAGGAGGGGAGACTTCAGAGGGAGATGTGGTTTCCAGACTGCCTCAGGAGGTCAGACTACCCCTTCAAACCAGCCCTTCAAAATGGTTCTCTCAGCCCACGACTCCCCAAGAGAGCTAACTAGCAGAAGAGAAATTTCTCAGAGTTTTGAGGTGACAAATCAGGGCCATAGATCTCTAAGAGTCAAATGCTTATAAATCTGACTAATTAATTAGTCAGCCCTGACGAGCTCACCACCATAATTCAGCGTCTGAAATAAGATTTCACATTAGAGCATGCAAATTTAAGATTAAAGCCAAGAGAAATGGTGTGACACCTCTCCTCCCCACCCCTTTTCTGGTCTCTGCCGTCCTTCTAGCTCCTCAGGCTGCAGTTCCAGAACCTTCCCTTCGGTTGCCTTTGTCTCTCAGGTATCCGAGGTGCTCTGCCCAGCCGGTGAGGAATGAGTGCCAGCTTCCCTGGCTACATTTAGGTAGGGCAAACGTTTTGCCTTAGGAACATTTTGAAATGGACAGGTTGTCACACCCTCCAGCCAAAGATTGCTGACAGAATCTCCAGAGCTGAACAAGTCACATGCAATATTATCTTGCGTCTAGAGGGCAGGCACATCATGGAGGAACACAGGGTGCTTCAAGAAGGGGCTTAAGAAAGGATTTTGACTTATGTCAGGTGATTTGGGGGAGGGGCTCCAGATTTAGATAGTCTTGGGAAGCAGGGCTTATTCTGATTGGGTTTTTTGTTTTTTTTTCCTAGAAAAAAAAAGGGGGGAAGTGATCTAAGGCCGCAGAGTCATGCTGTGTGTAATGATAGCATTTGTCTGTTTGAGACAAGGTCCCCCTGTAACTCCAGCTGGCCTGGAACTTGCTATGTAGCCCTGACTGGCCTTGCTTTCATAGAGATCTACCTGCCTCTGCCTTCTGAGTGCTGGGATTAAAGGCTGCCCCACAAATCCCAGCCTCACAATGATGTTTTGGTGACAAAGGGTCACGTTTATGACAATGGTCTCATAAGAGTCTCCCCTAGTGATGTCATAGCTGTTCTTTTTGTAAGCACACGCTATGATGTTTCTACAATGATAACATAGCCAGGAACACGTTTCTAAGGACATATGCTCATCATTTACTGATGCATGACAACACTGGAGGTTCAGGTAAGCATAATAGCTTTCCCTATGGAACAGAATCTCCACAGAGTTTCTGGTCTTATCTTCCATACACCAGAAATTCTCTTAATATCCTGTTTAGTCCCTGACTTTTGGCAAATAATCTGAATCCTGAGATGTAGGACAGAGCCTGGCATAGTTGGGCACCCAACAGTGTCTACTGACTGAATATGAAAGAATGCCACCAGGTCCCAGGCCCATCTACTAACCCTCTATCAATTCTCTCTGCATTTCCCTGAAGGTTCCTGTATACTCTGAGCAGACTGGTCATGGATTACAGCTGGCCCATTCACACCCATGGTATCTAGGAGACCCAGCTTCTGTCTCTACTACCCAGGGTCATGAACTGCCTTCCTTCTGCCTGTGGCTTGGGCACACAGTCCAGCAGCACTAGCTGCCTTTATATCTCTTTTCTATTTTAAAAAAATACTTTTTTTCTTTTTGGTCTTTTTGAGACAGGGTCTCCCTATAGCCCCAGCTGGCCTGGAACTCAATATGTAGACCAGGCTGGCCTTGAACTCACAGAGCTCTGCCAGCCTCTGTCTCCTGAATGCTGGGATTAAAAGCATGTACCACCACATCAAGCTAAAATACTTTATTTAAAAAAATTTATTATTTTTTGTGTGTATGATATATTGCCTGCATGTATGTAAGTGCACCTGTGTCATGCAGTGTCCATGGAGGTAAGAGGATGTTGGATCCCTTGGCACTGGAGTTACGAATAGTTGTTAGCTACCATGTGGGTGCTGGGAATTGAGCCTGGGTCTTCCGCAAGAGCAGCCAGTGCTCTTAATCACTGAACCATCTCTCCAGCCCCCATTTTATTTTTTTAATTTTATGTGGATGAGTGTATTGCCTGCATGTATGTAAGTTCACCCATATCCTGCAATGCCCTCAGAGGTCAGAAGGCATCAGATCCCCTGAAACTGGAGTAACCAATGGTTGTTAGCCACCACATAGGTGCTGGGAATCGAACCCAGATCCTCTTCAAGAGCAGCCAGTGCTCTTAACCACTGAGCCATCTCTCCAGCCCAGGTATCTCTTTTCTAAGAGAGGCTGAACTGGCTCCTGCTGCTTGAGGTTCCAGAACCCTAGCTGACTGGAGACTATCCTGGTGGAGGTGGGCAGTGTCCAATTGTTCAGAATAATAGTTTCAATACTTGGTTGGCACAAACCACCAGTTCATTTCCCCAGGGGTCACTAGTATAGCACACCAAAAGGGAGGACCAGGAACTCTGGTCACTGCTGTAGAGACAGTGGCATGGGGCTTAGGGAAAAGACGTCCATGCAGGAGACACTCATGGTGCTCCCCAATGGAACGTGTTCCCAATGGAGTGAAGGAGTCATGTCTGCTGTGGACACTTGTCTCGCCTGCATCTCTTCCTCAGTCAGCAAGGAGTCTGCAGACCTGTGGGACCTGGGAAAAGTTAAGGAAGTAGTGGGATCCTGACTTTCCTTCCTCCGGCCGGTCTCTACCCAGTGAGCTTTTAAAATGCAGCGTGGGAGGGGTGTCACAGCATGGGTACTCAGGTACACCTCCAAGTCTACTGCTGCCTGGGGCTGGGAACTGGGGACAAGCTGTTGTTCTGCAGTCTGTCCTTTCCTGGCTTTGTAGGACTTGGGAATCCAGAGCTCTGGAGTCCTCAGCAACTCCTTCAAAATCCTGTGGGGATGATTACAAAATAGGTTTGACAGTGTGTTTCCAGCAGCCCTTTGATGGGGTCAGGGGTGAGCCAATAAGGGACAGAGCAGCCCCTCCATTTTGCTTACTGGGCCCCTTGCCTAGAAGACCCTCCCACCTCTCTTGCCCCCTCAGCCCAGGTGAGGGCTTTGGAGTGTGGCACAGTGGGGTTTGGACTTGGAATGCTGGGGTGACCATCTCCGAACCTGCTTTCCCCAGCTAAGTGGGTGTCATAATAGGGTGGTATTAGGCACTGGGGAGAGTGACCAGGATACATGACACTGTTCTCTCCTTGGAATAGTTTCAGCTCCTTTCCAATTGGTGTGAGGCCTGTGAGGTGGGGACAGTGTCCACAATACTTGTAGCGGTAGCATGGTTCTCTGGACCTGTGTGTTAGATGAGTGAATGCCAGTCAGACTTCCTGGGCCAGCTCCTGGCTGGGACACCTGCCAGCTGCCCAGCACATCTGGTACCATCTGTGCTGATGACAAAGCCATCCAGCAGACTGCATGCAAAGTCCCTGCTGTCCACATGGGGCCTGCTTCTTTTGTTGGACACTGTCCTATGCGAGACAGAAGCAGGTCATAGAATGTAAGGCAACCCCTATGGGGAAAGGATCATGGAGCTGGATGCCTGACAGGTACCCAGAGTCAGTAACTGTCCAATGGGCAAAGCATCATTGTGTTTCTTCCTGGTTTATCTTTGACCCCAGCTCCCTTGCCTTCCCCAGGGACCTCTCTCCCCTCTCAGCTCTGCCTGTCTGTTTGCCCCTATTGACTTTCAAATTCCTGTTTCTCTGAGCCCCTGATACACAGATCCTTCCCCAGGGCAGTGAAGTCACACAGGCCCAGGACTGAGACTCAGCTGTGGTGCCAATTCTCATCTCCTGCAAGTGAAGTCACCTATCCAAACCTTGGGAAAGACAGGCCAATTACACTCCCAGGTGGTCCCTGGGTGGTCTGAGCACGATCATGGGCCAGAGTGGGTAGGAGGGGACCGGCAGCCTTGGCCATCGCTATTTGGGATGTGACATGTGTACCATCCTTGGGCTGAAGGTGCTTCAGTTCCCACCACTTACCATCTTCACACCTGTCTTGCTGTTTCCTCTGCCCACGGTGCCTCTCTTTGCACCTCCACAATTGAAACTCTCTTTCCCGGGAACACATGAACACCTTTCTGATCTGCCTCCTCATACAGATGAGTCTTTTCTTTGAACCCATAAGCAGATTTTCCCCATGAATGCAGATACTTTTTTTTTTTTAAAGACAGGGTCTCACCCTGTAGCCCTAGCTGGCCTTGAACTTATAGCAACCCTCCTGTCTCGGCTTCCCAGTTACTGGGACTACAGGTATGAACCACAATGTACCTGGCTAGTACAGAGAAAGTTTTAAAGGTACGGCTCATTGTACCCTTTGCTCTAAGGAGAGGAGTGAGGCTTAACAAGGTGGCACCCACAGCCAGTGGGTGGCTGGGCCAGCCTTGTCTCTCAAGCTTGACTGATGCCACAAGGCTCATTTTATCCCTAGTTGAGATGTCTGTGGCCCACATGTTATAGGTGTGGAAAGAAGTGTAGAGAGAATGTTGCTCAGGGTCACTCAGATGACCAGAGCATCTTTGAGGCCAAGTTCAGAGTTGTATCCCACCTGCTTGAGTCCTGGTCTTGCCCTTACCAGAAACCACCTGGTGTTCTGACATATCCCCCTGTGAAGGCTAAGGAAAGCACTAAGGAAAGGCAGCTGCTAGTGCCCAGGTGGGGCGAGCAGCCCAGCAAACATGGTGGAAGCTTGGGAGGCAGCCTGACCATTGGCCCAGGGGAACCAGCACACCTGGCACTGTGTGTGGCCCAGTAGAACAGAAGCACTTTGGGATGTCCCACCGACATCAGCCAGCGGATGCCTCCTAGGCAGGAATCTGAAAAACAAAGAAACTCCAGAGAGAAAGTTGATTGGCAAGAGAGGATGAGTTTTAGCAGCCATGAGTAATCATTGCCCACAGATGGCATAGACCAGGATCTTTCAGGACATTTTTCTGCTGTCCACAGCAACTGTCCAGAAGAGGTATCTGCGGGCCAGAGAGGCAAGGGGCTTTGCCCTGGGCTCCCAGCTGGTGGATAGCAGAGCTGGAACATGAGCCGAGGCAGGATGCTCTAGGCCCTCCATCTGTCACACACATGATCACAATGAGGAAATTTCATTCAGATCGTGGGAACCAAAGGCTAGGGAGCTACAGGCCTGTCCTGGGCCTTGGAGCAGCCTCTTGATGTCAGCCTAACACCAGGTTATATGGTGTCTCTGGTGCTGCACAAGCCTAGAAACACTTCAGCCCAGACCTACTGGTTAAGGCACTGTTCCACTCAGATGAAGTCTTAGCTGGCAGTGTAGAGGGAATGCATATATCTAGCCTCAGCCTCTGAGGTAAGTCCATGATGAAACGGCAAGGGCCCTTTCCCGATCGTCTGTGACTATGAGGTATGGCAGGCATGTCTCTGAAGTTTGGCCAAGGAGCCACAGCAGCCTGTGGATGGCCCTGGCTTATTGGTTTATTTGAGATGGGCATCCTGCTATTTAGCCCAGGCTGGCCTTCAACCTTGAAGTCTTCCTGCCTCAGGCTCCCAAATGCTGGGATTACAGGTTGTACTACTATGTCTATTTTAGCTTGACTTCCTCATATGACAGGTGAGGAGAAGCAGGAAGAAGATTGCCAACCAGACAGACGTTTATCCTAAGCCAGGCCCGGGCTTCGTGTCACCATGACTGAATTTTCAGCACTCAAGAAAGCACCAGATTCCACAGAAAGAATTGGGGAGGGGACTGGGCTCATGAGATTTGGTCGGCAGTGTGGTGCACTTTGCACTCCAGCCTCTGACTGCAAAGTCCATGCTTCATTTTCTTAAAAAGTATGTGGAACAAAAAAACCCTTTCCTCAGTTCTTCAGTCAATCCAGCCAATTTAAGGTTTCTAATGTGTGAGGCATGACCCTATCATCTCAGAACTCAGGAAGCTGAAACAGGAGGATCTTGAGTTCAAGGCCAGCCTGGGCTACATAGTGTCTCAAAAAATCAAACAGATGCCAGACTTAGTGGTGCACACCTTTAATCCCTGAATTTGGGAGGCAGAGGTGGGCAGATCTCTGTGAGGCCAGCCTAGTTGCCACAGAGAGTTCCAGCCAGCTGAGGTGATAGAGAGACCCTGTCTCAAAAAGACCAAAAAAAAAAAAAAAATCAAACCCAACAAAACACTTGGGGAAAACTCACCATCTCTGCCTGACTCCCACTTTGGGCAACAGTATACATGCTAAAAAAAAAAAAAAAATCAAACCCAACAAAACACTTGGGGAAAACTCACCATCTCTGCCTGACTCCCACTTTTGGCAACAGTATACATGCTAAATAAACAAAACAAAGGCTGACGGTTTTGCTACTGTCAGCAACAGTGGAGACCAGTGGACTTTCACCTAAACATCCTTAAGCATTTCCATGTCCTGTCAGCATATGAAACCCAAAATCTCTAGTTGTTTTCCAGCTGTAAAGATAAACTTTTTGTGGAGATAGGGTCTCACTTATACAGACGTATATAGCCCTGACTGGCCTGGAACTTACTGTGCAGACCAGGTTGGCCTTGAACTCTCAGAGTTCTGCCTGTCTCTGCCTCCCACGTGGTGGGATCAAGGCATTGCGCTATCATGCCTGGCCAGCAAACTTGTTTTTTGCACTGATAATTTTTAAGAATAAAAACTGCAATGCTAGAGTCAGGCACTCATCCTTAGGTGGGCGTGTACCACATGCAAGGCTGTCTTGCAGGCGTTGCAGTATTCTGTTAGTGGGAGGATGCTCCATATGAGAAAGGTCATATGCATCAATCCCTCTGTAGTGTGAGGTCCTCTGATTAATGCCTCTGGAGACGTCGTCCCTGACTGCACATCAGCCTGTCCAGGCTGGGCTCTCAGGCCAAGAAGGTAGTGAGCACTCACTGGGGTGTCACAGGTGCCCCAGGTGAAAGGAGAAATCACCCAAGACAGAACTTGAAAAGCCAGCAGTGTTGAAGCAGGCTCCTGAGGGGACTGATGACTGTGCCCTTGCTAGGTTGGCCCAAAGAACGAGGATAGCTGCAGGTATGCAAGAAAAAAGGTAAGCATGACCAGACTTTTTTTTTCCCACCAAGTAACTTTTTGTAACTACTGTGGAAAACAAGCTGCCTAAGAGAAGGGGGACAGAGGGATAGGCTCCAGAAATGCTTCTCTGAAATGTTGCTTCTGAAAACAAAGCAGGTGTGACAAATGTCCAACACTCCTAGCTTGGCTGAGAAGCGCCCTGTTTTCCTGCCACTGTGGGTGCCCATGTGATCTCCACCCTGGCATGTGATCCTGAGCTATCTGGCAGAACAAAGCAGAACAGAGCCATCACGTACTCAAGTACAAATTTAATAAAGCCTTTGACATGTCTTAATCCTTAAGTTACCTACAAAAACAGAAATCCCAGAACATTTCAGAGCTGTCAAGAGCCACCAGGGTGTCCATGAACACCAGCTATAAAAGTACAGACTTGGTGTTTTAGATAGTGCAATATTGTAACTGCTGGGAAGAATTTAAGTAAACGACAAATGACCCCTCCTTGTCAAGAGAAAAAATAGATTAAGTTGAAATTGGTGCTTATAACTTACTCTCTCCTCAAATCCCTGCTGGCTGTGATTCATAGGCAAGAAAAATCAAGACTGGTCCATCTTATCTATACAGGCCAAGTCAACTAGGTCCAGTACCTGTAGACAAGCTGGGTATACACGTGGTTGGCAGACATATTCCAAGGAGTCGGGTATTTGTTTAAATTCCTCACCATCTTTCCAGGTGAAGCATGGGACATTCTCCAGAAGCCCAGGGACCTTCCTCAGCTGACACCAGCTCTAGCCACAGCTCCCCCACAAAGCAGAAATAGATGTGCCTGCTTTCCCATAGCATGCAGGATTCTGCTAAAGGTGTTCCTCTGCCTGGAAGAGTGCTGTAAACTCTCAGCCAGTGCCACAGAGTGGAGGAAGGACCAGGGCTCCTGGCCGGCACTCTGGCTTCCACCTAGGTGGTGGGGAAACAGAAGTTTCACAAAGTGGGAGACACATGACTGCTTGTAGACCTCTCACCCCAGGGCCTCTGCCTCAACTTCTTGGATCTGGAGAAAGTTTTTATGATAAGGGAGGAAAGGACGGCCCAGGAGCATAATGGGTTGAAAAAGGGAAGTCAAAAAGAAAATGAGAGGGGAACCAATGGGGGGGTATGGGATAGCCTCAGGTCTAGGGTTATGGGATATCCTCTGGGCCTGTCAGTGCAAAGGGCTCCTGTAATGAGGAAAATCAGGCTTTGCTGTATGAAGAGTAAAGCACTACCCAGAGGGTTGGGTGCCTTAGGCTCCTGTGGGTTTCCCATAACATAATGGGGAAGGCAGACACAAAAGGTGAACAGGCTCCAAGTACCAGCCAGAAATGGGGCTGCTTTCCAAGAGCTGCAAGCTTCTCTCCCAAGCTAGGACACTGAGAATGCACAGGCCAGGGGCTAGCCAGCAAGGGCTCTCTGACAGTTTGGTCTGCTGAGGACGCAGGAGGGAGGGCTGTGGTGTGGAATACATGAGACCCTGAACTTGCTGTGCTCAGCGGCTTCCCTGGTAGCATCTAGGTCTAGTTGCCTGGGAAGAGGCTGTTGTGGACAGGGTGGAGGCAGGGGCTCTGTCGTGCATAGAGGCTTGGCAAGGCTTTAACCTGAGAAAAATTTTCAGAACAGAAGGCGAGGACCTCATTGGCATCAGGCTTTGTGTGCTCAGAACCCTACCCTGGGAAATACTGTAGACTCTTGCAGTCCTGGGGCCTTGTCTATACATGGTTCACTCAGAGTACCGGGTAAGGGAAGAAAGCCTCACAGAAAGACCAAACTACCAGGAAGAAGCCCCTCTGCAATCATTAGGCCCTGGCCTCAGGGCCCCTGCAAAGTAGGAAGAAGACCCATATGGATGGAACCGGAGGTTTATTTTTAACAGTCCCTCCCTGGCCACATCATCTGAGGATGCTGTGCAGTGGGGCCAAGTGCAGTTCAAGTTCAAGGCTACCTGGGGGGGAGGGGTGTCTCATGGCTATTGAGAGGGTCTGGAGGCCAAAGTTACCTGGTACACTGGCCACACTCCCAGGGGCATGCTGCCTCCAGGAGCTGAAGGGCCCTGGAAGCCTTGGTGCTCTGGAGGGCAGGTAGGTGAGACTGGGGTGGAGGCTAGGAGAGTTCGAAGCCTGTGTTCATGCTGATGGCGTAGCGTAGCTTCTCTCGGAGGACACTTTTTTTGCTGTAGTTGGGCAGTTTGAGCAGGTTGAAGCAAGTGGAAGAGGTGGGCAAACGCCCACCGGGCTCCCGCTTGCGGATGGTGAAGAAGCCCCGGAGGACGCTGCCTAGGGTGTCCCCAGTGTCCTGCAAGCATATACCACAGCTCTGGGTTAGAAGGTGCCCGAGCAGTCCCTGGGCACTGGGCAGAATACAGGTGCATTTAGGTTGAGCCCAAATTTAGGACAGCGGCCTGAGAGACTGAGTACAGAGGAACGCCTGCTGGTCCGAACACTCACACAGGAGTCCTGTGCTAGGTCAGCTCTCTGATATGGGCCTCCTGGTTAATAGACAATTGTCAGTTAACATTCTCAGAGCAGAGCACAGTACAACGGCTTTATGGAACCGAACATTTCAAAGTGAAGCCTAACGGTCCCTCCCTGATTGCCAGTGCTGTGCTCCACAGCTGACTAACACTTGGCTCAACTTCCCCCTTTGTTTGGAGGCTGAGGACCATCTCGTGTCTGATAGAAGGGAATGGGAATGCTGACTGCAGTCTGGAGGGACTACAGTGAGATAGGGACACTCTAAGGCCACCAGGCTTTCACAGGGTGGGGACATCTGAGCACACACCATGGTCAGGCTCATAACATATGAATTATGAGTCCTAGGGCACACTCCATTAACAGAGCAGACAACCAGCAACTTGCCTGGGTGTGCCTGGCCAGCAAGAGGAGGAGGAGCTGGTACCCAAACCTGCCTTTGCCCTCTCCTACATTGCCTTTTGGAGCCTGGCCAGACCAGCAACCACTGAAACAGCATTCTAATCTCCCCACAACCTCTGTCCTTCACCAAGGAAGGAACAAGGAAGGACCTCCAAGACAGAATAGAGAGCTTGGGCCCCACAGTAGCCTGGCCCTGCAGTGCCCTGTGGGTGGTTGGTTCTCAAGCCTGGAGAACCATGGGACCTCTTCATTTGGTCTCCAGGAAACTAGCTGCCCACCCTGCTGTGATGCAGACCTGAGTGAAGGGAAAGGAGGAGGGAGGCACATGGTGAGCACAGCAGAAAGCCAAGCAGAAGGAAAGGAATACTGTCTCAGCTTACTACCTGATCATCAGACACTTCCACACAGCGAATGGAGAACGGAGGCTTGAGGTAGGCAAAGCCCAGGAGTGGGGGCCTGGAGCAGCTGGTCACGAACTGCAAAACAAGACAGGGTCAGTGGAGACAGGAGGAGCTCTTGCTACTGTGTTCATGCTGGGCTATCTTCTCTCCCCTGGACTGTTCATTGCCATTTCACTAGAAGCAGAGTGGTGACAGAGAGGTGCAGCTGGTCCCAATATACCTAGGATTCATCGACTATCTCAAGGGTGCTACTCTCTGGAACTCAAAATCCGGTGGCTTGCTGGAGAACTCAGGGTGATATCCCCATGAAACAAGTCTCCTTTTTATGTTGTTTGAGGCAGGAGCTCATGTAGCCAAGTCACCTTTGCTATGGTAGCTAAGGAAGACCTTGAACTTCTGATCCTCCTGCCTTTGCCTCCCAAGTGCTGGGATTCCAGGTGTGCACCACCACGCCCAGTTTAGAGGTAGGTCTCTAATGGGATTGTCATGTGATCAGCAGCAGCAGGAACAGAGTAGTGACCAACACCTGCTCTTACAGAGACCAGCAATGGCAATGCCGGAGAGGGCCTGAGTGAGCTACTGTTGTGACCAGGTACTAGGGGGAAATAGGGGCTGTGCCCATGAGCCTAAGTAGCTTGAACCTGTGACCTCACTCCCTCAGGGCACACTGGTGTCCTGCTGGCATGTACAATATCCAGTGAGCTGGGTTCCTGGAGGCCTCTGCAGGAGACTCAGCAGCAATCAGCAGACTGAGAAAAAACAGGTTTCTGGAGCCAGTGAGGCTATGAGAACCAAGGTATGAGACACCAGATGCCTGTGGGCATCCAGCCACAGTTCCTGCTATACCCCCACACCTCTAGCATTCTCCAAACACAGCACCTGCATTAATGCCTCAGATGCGCTCTGCATTAATGCTCTGCTCAACATGTGACCAACCTGGAAATCCACTGTTCAATTTGCACGAGGGAAGCCCTAACTTAGCTCAGCAGTAACCACATATGCTTCCTTTCTAAGGGATATGACACCAAGCCTAGATCCAAATATTCAGTACTTAGTGAGCCTTAAATGTTATCATTTAAACAATGTTATATATGTACCTGCTCTACTATGCTTAACTTCTAAAAACGCCATTAGCAGCAGCTTGCTGTGCTTCGCCTCCAGGCAGAGCACTGGCCGAGCACACTCTCCAGCCATTCCTTGGATGCTATGTAGCCACTGTGGTTGGTCTTGTTTAAGGATGAGGAGACAGACCCAAAATAGCTACATAGCCAGATCAAGCTGCCTCAGAACTGCTGCCCGCTGCAAGCTGGGGATGGTCAGAGGGAGGGGAGTTCTTGTCCTGGTCAGCAGGAGGAACAGAGGCATGGGAAGCCTCCAGAGGCTACCACTACATTTAAAAGCAACATGGTGACATCCATTCCAGTGCAAGAGTTACACTTCTTCCAGTGAAAATGGGAGCCTGTCTGCAGCCACAGTGGGGACAGGCATGTGACAAAAAGTTACAGGTCTGATCACAGGCAATTTAAAGGCACAGGTTCATCAACTGCAAAGGCAGGTGACTGCTCAACTGCAAGCCACTGGCAGTTTTCTATTACAAGCAGCAGCAGTCTGCTCTGCCTATGTGGTACACTGCTAGGAAACCTGGGGCTCTTAGAACCATCTTTTGCAATCAGTCTGTCCATGTCCCAGAAGACCTGTCAGTAAGTGACTACACATGTGCATCTCCTGGACTGGAGTGACTAAGGTCTCCTCAGCAGGAGAGTACAGAATTCAGAATGACCAGCAGGGAGGACGACTAGCCAGTCACCTCTTGAGTTGGTGATAACACCATAGTACCTCAACAAGAGGTCACCCAAGAAGGCTGGAGAGATGACTCAGCAGTTAAGAGCACCAACTGCTCTTGCAGAGGACCTGGTTTCGATTCCCAACACCTACATGGCTGCTAACAACCATCAGTAACTCTAGTTCCAGGGGATCAACACCCTCTTCTGACCTCCAAGGGCAATGCCTGACATGGATGCATTTATATACATGCAGGCAATATACTCATACATATAAAATAAAAATAATAAACATTTAAAAAAAAAAAGAGGTCACATAAGAAACCCACATGTGGTAGTACACACCTGGAATTCCAGCATTTAGAGGTATAGACAGGGAGGATCAGGAGTTCAAAGTCATCCTTGGTTATTGGCTACATGGAAAGTTTGAGACCAGCCTGGGACACATGAGAACCACCTAAAAAAAAAGAAAAAGGAAAAAAAAGAAAAAAAAAAAAAAAGAAGAAACCCATGCCTTAAGAAAAAGACTGCAAGCCACTAAATTTACTCCTCAAATATGGCAAGGTGTTTATACCTTTCACAGGGAAAGAAGGCAGGTGGCAAAATGATGATCCATTTTTATGAAAATATACTTACATACAACACAGAGACAGGTACGTGTGTTCTATAGGACCCCGTGTTCTATACACTGCTCATGCTCTGCTGAGATCAGTGATCAAAAACCAATGAAGTGACAGGAGGGGGATAGAGTGAACACTCACGACTCTACAGACACTAGGACAGAAAGTAGGTAGTCACTCTATTTGTAAAAACATGGTGCCACGTCTCTAATTCCAGTACTCAGGATGCTGAGGCAGGAGAACCATCCTGATTTTCAGGCTATCCTGGGCTACAAAGTGAGTTACTGGCGAGGCTGAGCTGCAGAGTGAGAACCTGACTCAACCCCTACCTCCCATTCAAAGGAATGCACACTGATGCCAGCCTATGCACTATAATTTTTGGGGACACTGTGAGGGAGTGTGCATGCATGCGTGTGTCTGTGTGTGAGACAGACTTCATATTGAGGAAAATTTTCTCTCTTAGGGAAAAAAATTCTACACTAGAGGGGTATTTAGGATTGTTAAAAAATTGCTTGTTTGTATTTATTTTATTTTAATTTTAAGTATCTGAGTGTTTTGCCTGCATGCCTGCACATGTACCACATGTGTGCCTGGTGCCTATGAAGACCAAAAGAAGGTGTGGATCCCCTAGAACTGGAGTTACAGATGGTTATGAGCCATCATGGGAGTGCTAGGACTCCTCTGCAAGAACAGCAAATGCTCTTAACCACTGAACCATCACTCCAGCCCCTTGTCTGTATTTCAAGGTAATAACCTAGCCTTACAGATAGAGAGGGTGGAATACTGAGCCCAGTGGCACATAGGAGCCTAGCTTGAGGCCCTGCTGTAGTCTGACAGCAGGCTGGGCCCTACCTCTCCAGCCCCTCTCTGGTTACCTCAGGCCCATGGTATAGATTTGCTCAGGGGAGAGGCTATGCTGCCAACTGTGTGGCCCACTTGATAATTCCACTGTTATCCCACATCAGGCAGCCTTCTAGGTTTGCCCACGTATTCAGGAACACACATAGAAGTAATAAATAAAATACCTTCAGAAACATGGCTCTCTCATTGGGCGTGAAGTCAGAGGCCAGAATATCCCAGAGCCAAATGATGACTCTGTGACTTCCGTGAAAGCCACCATAGTACACCGTGTGCTTCCTGCAAACAATCAGATGAAGGCTCAGCAGCTAGTGAGGGCACTTACCCATATAGGCAGGTAGGGGCACTTAGACAAGTGGCACCTCCAAGGTAACTTAAAGCCAGAGGTTCATGCTTTATTGAGCTTGTTTCCCTGGAAGCTAAGTGAGCAGAAGGCTCCAAAGCAGCTCCTGCTCTTACATGGACACCAGCAGCAGAGCCACAGAGAGCACCTGGGTCAAGACTTGCCTCCACTTGGTCTCCGGGCAGACAAGTGGCTGTGCTCTTATTCCAAAGCAGCCCAGCAGGTGATGGGGGAGGATGTTGTTTGGCCAGGGACTCCCAGAACAACTCTGTATCAGGAGTCCAGCAAGGAGCCCAGCTGTCCTAGAAGGCATAAGCATCTCACCCTTCCCTCTTCACTGCCTCTTACTTTAAATCTTCTAGATCAATTTCAGCGTTGTCCCCGGAGATGAGACGCTGCAGCTCAGGGGTAGAGAACATTCGGATCCACTCAGGCTTAATAATGGAACGGAAGCCGCTAATGAGAGCAGCTGTCTGGTTTTTGATTTGAGTGTGCATTCGAAAATGGGCCATCAGGTGGATGTAGCTAATTCTGTTAACAAGAAACAGAAAACAATGGAAACCAAGAGGCGGGGCAGGCTATTGCCAAATGGGCTGAAAGATAAACCTACAGTTTCAGAGTCATTTTCCAAGACTCAAATAGTACAGGAGCATTTATCACAAGGACGCCACGATGACAGTTCTCCTGAGTCACGCACCTGATGTCACTGTGAAAACATCAAGGGTCTGAGGTACGGCCTCATTTACTTGTCCCCCACAGTCCCCGTGGGGGGGATAACTGCCCCATGCTGAGGAACTTAAGAGACATCTGTCCAGTAAGAAGGGGGCACTTCTTAGTCATCTTTGATCTCACCCCGGACATAGTCAGTGAAGTCATAGCTCAGTGCCCAATACACTTCAAAGAAAAACTGTACGACTTGGAAACTTTAGCCTTCAGCTTCAGGCTGAAACTTCCACTAAAACCTATGGGGTTTTTAAAAGGTAGACTTGCAAAATAGTTTCCATAAATACAGCTGGGTTATATCTAGGTTCAACAAGGAAGCCAGATCATCTAAGACCACAGGCTGACACACTCCAACAAGCTTGCCAGCATCCCTGATTTGTTAGTGAACTGTGTACTCAGGATGTACAACTGTTAAAAATTCCATGATATAGTTCAAAAAAAATTTGTGTCGCTCCACAATGCCCAGGCCAAAGCTACTGGCCTTGAAAGGATTCCTATTTTTAAAGATATTTAGCAACAAACATATACATTAATACATTCAGATACAACTTTTCCAATTACTACTCCTTCTTTCATGTACTCTATGGAGCAGGTTCCTAAAACTGGGGGTGGGGGTGGGGGGAGGCTTCCATGTCCAGAAGTGTGAGACCAGGCAGCAACCCCGAAGGAGGGGAAGCTGGCACTGCCAGGCACCGAGTCAGCTGTGTGACTGGATACTCTGTCCGACACTGAGGCTTTACCCATAGACCGCAGGGGTTGGTGAAATGAGTTTCCATGTTAGGTTTCACGGCAGGGCAAGAATCTCATTCTGGTACAGTCAGCATGAACTCACCTCCCCTGGCTGTTATCTGCACATATCACATACACAGTGCTTACCATCACCCCTGTGCCACAGCTCCAGGCAAAGGTGGCCACCCTGGGGTGTGGGGAGGGGTAGGCAAGATCTCCAGGGGCATGTCCTATATCTGATGCCCTCTGAGGAATGGTCACAGGTCACACACAGGACCAGGACTCACTCCTGCGCTGACACCAAGCCAGGCCACCTCACCTCCCTAGGCAGTTTTTCATTTTCTTTTCAAACTAAGGCCCTGGGGCTAAAAGGCGTGTGTTTCAGTCTTGTTGACAACAGTCTGTTCTGGCTATTCTAAAATTAAAACACAAAACTGTCCCAAGCACACGGGCTATCAAACCACCCGATTTCAAGAGGAATAAAATGTGCAGAACACCACAGTGGAATGTGCACGGCAGCCAGATGACCACAGGGACGGAGCCTCACTTGTCCTTGTGGAGATGGATGTTCAGATGAACAGTTCAAATGCTCAAGTGGCCAGAAATCTGGTAATATGACGAGAGGGACAACATCCACTCCTCATGCCAAAGGTAAGATAGGGATATGCAGAGACCATGCATTGAGGGGTTTTGCTTCTGGGACCAAAAGGGTTGACATTTACAATGGACCTCTAAAAGCATATCATCTGTGAAAGCAGCGCCTACACATCTACACCTCCTCTAACTCCCCATGTCTAAGGACATGTCTGTTGCACTGAACTCACCATTGAGTCTTCCCAACAGCCCTATTTTCCACAATGACCACATGCAGTCATTTAAAAATGTCTCTGACTGCCTGTCTTCCAGGTTCAGGACAGCATGCCTGAGCTGCTTGGGGTCCATTTGTCTCATCACTACATTCCTAAGAACATGTGGTCTAGGTGTCTCTGACCTTCCAGATGCTGCTGCAGAAAAGTAAATTGTCCATTCTTATTTTGCAAATGGAATTTAATACAATTCCAGCCTATCAACTGCAACCAGAAAATTCCATTATGATATTTATGGCCTCTTTCCACCTCAGTCTATCTTAATAAATCCTCAGCATAAGCCCAGAGAGCCAGAATGAAGTCTTTTCAAGTGATGACCTTAAAATCTAATTGCTGTACTCACTTATTTTCATTTGTAACAGGAATGGTCTTCCCTCCAGGAACTAGTTCGTGGCAGACAAGCTGGAGGAGAAGACGGGAGTAATTACTAGAGAGAATTCTAGCAGGGAAATAATGCTTCTCCAAGATTAAAGGGCCTGGCATTAACACCCAGGATAATGACGGAATTAAGACACTACATGTTTGGTACGATCATCTTTCACAAACCTCAGGGCTGCAAATTCAACAAGCAGGCCCTGTGTGATCAATACGAAAGACCTCTCATCTGATCCTTGTTCAAATATTTGCACTAAGGATGCTGGATGTCACAGAGGGAAACATGTTGGCACTCAGGACCACGACAGGATGTTAAATAACATCCACAAGGGAATACAGTGCAGTTAAAAATTTGATTCAAGCATGCACTTATTAAAAAAAAAAGATTTTTATGACCACATGTATACTATCATTTCCACAACACACACATACATACATACACACACATGCACGCACATGCACTCACATGTGGAAGCACACAGGGGAACTTATTACAAATAGCACACTCCAGACACACGCATTACAAATGGTTTTCATCTTCATAATTGTATTCTAGCTCAGTTTTGTGTGCGAGGTTTCACGCAGCCTAGGGTTCTACAGAACACGCTGGCAGTGCCGGTTTGGGAGAATGGTACTGAGCGCATTATTCTTTCTTGTGGTGAGATGAACTGGGGCAAGTTGAGGTCCACACTCCAAATCGAGGTTTCTTTCCCATAGGTTTTTCAGAACCCTTGCGTGACAACCTGCTTGGTGGCTTTTCAGGAGAAGGCTGGAACATGCATGTGTGTGGGGCAGGGTGGGGTGGGGAGAAGACGGTTCCATCAAGGACTCAGATCTGACAAATGGCACATTTATGAGGCAAGGGAACCAGCTCAGAGAAACCAAATAACCTCTCTGAGGTGACATAGGCTGAGTCTGAGAAGTCAGCTCCACACCACACTGGTGGTATGGTTTCTTCAGAGCAGACCTTGGGTGACACAGAGAACCTCCTGAAGGTGTCTCCACTGGGACACAAGTGGAGGGGGCAGAGGACATGTGAGAGACATGCCAGAAGGAGTAACTGTGACAGGAACCACTTCTGCCAGCAAGATTTCAAGGGTCTTATCTTTCTCCTCCATGTCTGATGATGATGTGAACAGGGACAGGACTCCCCTGGAGGGACCTCACCTCAGGTGCTGTCCCTCCACATCAAGCCATAAGCCTTCATTTAATGGGAACTCTTCACCACAGAATTCCAAATGGGAATTCACAGCTTCTGCCAAGCGTTCCTAAGATACAACAGAAGCAAGACAGAGCTCTGTGGGGAGTTACCTGAGGGGGAGCATGTAGAGGCCAGATCAGCAGGGAAGGGACAAAGCTCTCCCTCCTGGCCACGTGGGATGAAGAACAGGAGGGGCCTGAGGACAGACTCACAGATCCTCAGTGTATGGGTTTCTGAGGGAAAACTCATGAGTCAGCAGGCCTCAAGATATCCACAAACAGAACGGTCCACGTACCTGACCCATGACATCCTCATCGTAAGACAGCGTCAGGCCCAGGTCGGCTATGTCACCATCATAGCGCTAAAGGGTGAGAGAAAGAAAACACTGCGGCTGGGGAGCAAGAGTCCTTGAAGAGTTTAGCCTCCCTCCTGAGGGGCCACTGTGGCTGTCAACCTTGATGCTCAGGGATTGAGGCAGAGGGAAGAGGCCATGAGTTTCAGCTCTGAGAGAGAGTGTCCAGAGGTGTAGGGTTGGGACTGGGACTGTTCCAGGTCACAGGGAAAGCTCAAACCCCAAAGGGTGTGGCTTGGTTCTGGATTCATACTAGTACTCACCTAGTCACCCACCCTCAGCACTAACCTTGATAGAAGTGAGGTTTTTATAAAACTCTGAGTCCAGTGAAGGAAGTTCATCCACAGAGCTATAGAAGACGCTGTGGTGATGGCCAAGCATCTGGCTCAGAAAGAAGGAGGCGAAGGGCACATCTACCACAATTCCCTGTGAAGGAAGACAGGAAGCTTGAGGTTCAGCTAATTAGCTCAGGCACCTAGGTCTTCAGTCTGGAGGGCTGTATGTCCCCTTCATCTAAGAAACTATCTAGGAACCTCCTAGAACAATGATCCTAGACACAGGCCTTAGAGTCATACAGCCTAGGGATAAGAGCTTAGCTCAGCTGCCAGTCCAGTGCATTGCCTTTCTAACTATGAATGGAGACAGCATCAGCCATTTTTGCAGCCACAGGGACATGTGCTATGTCAGGGGCAAGGCAGAGGAGCAGGCACAGTAGACACGTGTGTGTGGCTTGGGAGATGTGGAAAACATGCAGAAGGCCAGGAGGCCACACTTCTTAGCTTGTTTGGACTCTTCTGCAGGGCATATGCCCAGGTACATATAGTTGTTTTATTTTCTGTAATAAGGAACCAACTGAGGGATGCTTCTGCTTAAAAGATGAGGAATTAGCAGGCCATGGTGGTGCACACCTTTAATCCCAGCACTTGGGAGGCAGAGGCAGGTGGATCTCTATGAGAGAGGCTAGCCTGGTCTGCATAGCAAGTTCCAGGCTACCTGGGGCTACAGGGAGACGCTGTCTCAAAAACAACACCCCCCCCCAAATGAGGAATTAGAGGACGGAGAAGCCTGTACTATCAGCAGCACAGGGCAGGAAGAGCTAGGCAGTGTGTGAAGAGTCTTTGACAGACACCTCATTTCACCAAGCCTGAGGACTGAGGGCACAGGCAGGAACTTTTACATAGAGAGTACAACAGGTTATTCATGTCCAAGTAGCTCGCCCTGGGGAAAGCCTCCTTCTTTTCCACCACCTCCCTCTGGAAGGCATCTGGCTTCTCCAGAGCTCATGGGGTGAATTCTGCTCTGGAGACCCATTTCTTTGGAGCTGTGCCAGCAGCTCCATAGAGCCTGGGGTCCGGCAGCTTTGGGGCTCATGGTGAAGGCCAGAGAGAGCCACTGATGAGCTCCTGCTGCAAGTCTACTTGTCTCCTGATGGTCACAGACAGGGGTGAGAACAGATCTGAGCTCTAAGGGCTTCCCCTGAAGTCTGCAGGGCAGAAGCCCCCACCACAACTCCATGAGTAGCAGAAGCCAATGACAGTAGGCCAGTGGTGCTGAAACTCAAGTGACCTGATGCCAGGCACAGAAGGAGGCTTTAAATGTCTGACCTCATCTACCATGGACGACAACCCTGTCACGAAGCTATTATCTCCACTTTACTGATGAGGTAACTTAGGTGCCTGTCACACTGCTGGCTAGGCAGGAGCTGGCTACGCCCAACTCCTGTTCTATTTTGTGGGCCAACTCCCAGGAACCTCAGGCTCCCTCTGAAAGTAGTCACTCCAATAATAGAAGATTTCAGCACTGGGCTAGGGTGTTGCTTAGTGGCAGAAAGTGCTTAGCATGTGAGGCCCTAGGTTCTATCCCCAGAACCAAACCAATCAAAAACCAAAACTAACAAAATTCATTTCCAAAGCCCACAAAATGGTGCTTTCCTATGCCGAGGACCAACAACCACATGCAGATCTGGCTTTGGCACATCACTCTGCCATCTCAGGAAGAGCAACCTGAGGACTGGCCTGGGTTTGAACTCTGCCTCTACCATCTGACTCTGAAGGAGACTAGACAAGTGAGTTCTCAGAGCTGCAGTTCTCTCACTCTCCAACAAAAGATAGCAACAGCCATGCCACAGGGTCAGAGAGGATGACCTGATACACACAAAACAGAGTACGTGTGTTGTCATGTCCTGATTCCTGCCCAACTTTCTTCACTTTATCCTAACCACAGCCAGTTACACGATAAGCCTGATCACATCATGCTACATGAAGTCTGTGGTGTCTCTCACATGCCATTTGGTTTTTCTCATTTGAGACAGAGTTTTGCTATGGTAGTCCAGGCTGGCCTCAAATTCATGATCCTCCTGCCTCAGCCTCCTAGGTGCTGAATTACAGGAGTGCACCACCATGCTCAACGCTCACCTGTCATTTTACATGCCTTTTCCATTGCTCCTTCATGGGCTTACCTCGTACACAGCCTTTCCCAGCATCTTCCCCACGAACTCGAAGAGCTGCAAGTAATTCTCATGAATGTAGGACGTGGGCGAGGGGTAGAGCCTCTCATCCCCACTGGTTGTCTACCAGGCAAAGGGGGAGGGAAAGGCAGAGTCATGTGGCTTGTCTTGACTATTGGCCCCTGCATCTGGCTGCTGCCAGCTCCACTCATACCCCCTTAACCACCTTGAACAGATTGAGTGCTGGGTCAAACACCCTTTTGATGATCTCTTCCAAGAACTCCTTGAAGACACCGTCCTGGTCGATCCCGGCCTCATCCACCCCAAGGTCATTGACGAACTTCACCCGGATCACGCCCTTCATGGCATGCTGGGAGAGCTGCCGGAGCTGTTCATAACCATCCTGGCAAGGGAGGATTACAACCCATGAGGAGCCCATGGGCTCAGCATAATCCATAAACCATGCAAGTGAGGACACAGGTCCACAAGAGAAGGGGTGCTCACGTGTATCTGTCTCAACATTAAAAGGATTCACTTTGAGGATGGACAGTCCCACTCCTTGGCAAGGGGAGACTGCCTTCAGGAGGACACAGAGCAGCCAGATAGGGAAATTAGATAGAACAAGTCATGGCAAGCTTGGGCCATCCAAGGTGGAGGAACCTGGGATAAGATGGATGTCTCTCCAGCTCTTTAAAGCTGAGAGTATCACTTAGCTCATGGGAAGAGTCAGGTTTACAGAACACTGTACGACGAAAACTGTAAGTGTCTCCTACCCTATGGGTCCTGGTACTGAGGAGCCAAGGTTAGATCCTGAGAGCAGCTGTAGGGGAGAGGCATGAACCCCGGGGAAGGGAAATCTGAACCCTGCTGGCTGTGGTCAGCTCCTTCAAAACAGCCATCTGTGGGGTATGGCTCTGGTAGAGTGCAGGGCAGAGTGGGTGCTTAGCATGTGCCAGACCCTGGCTAGGATCCCCAGCACTGGAAACAAAGCAGTAAATACAGCCATGTGCATCCTCTTATCTAGAATGCCACATGCGCATTGAGGCCAGAACTTCAAGTTCTACTAAACTGTCAGGTTAGTGTGCCTCTGGGTCCTCATCTGCAGAGGTCCTCCTGGCCTCACTGTCATCCAGTGTATTCTATCTGGAGTGGTTTTCACTCTGGAGCAATGATTAGGAAAATCAGTGAACAGGAGAGGGTCCAAGAGAGTTCCTGTGGTCTGACACAAGAGCCCACCTGACAAGGGTAAAATGGTGTCGGTAGATATTGTCACATAATGGATTATAAAGCAGCTGTGATACACCTGTCTCTTTCATTGACAACTGCAACACTGTCATAGCTGACACAGACCATCTCCACAGCACCCACTTCTCCTTCCACATGCTCTTACCGCCTTGACGCAAAGCCAGTGAGCAATCTGGCAGCACAGTGAAGCCAGTTTTGGGGAGTCCTTGCTGCTTTTCTGTCCTGCTTACTTAGTGATCCAAAAGACCCTCCTAAGATGTCTCTGAATCTTGTCAGAAACAGATTCTCAAGTTGCTGAGTCAGGAAGGGTGACCTCTAGAGTCCATGAGGCCATCAGCAGGTTTTGGGCACACATAACCTGAAGAATACGTTTTGTGCATACAAAGTTTGAGATCCAGCATTCAGGAGGCTGGGGCAGGAGAACTGCTGTGAGTCTTAGGCCAGCCTTGGTTACAGGGCAAGACTCTGCCTCAAAAAAACCACAAACCAACCAACCTCCTGAAGCCTTGGGAATATTTAGATGAAATAGGGGAGGAGCAGTGTGATGTCATGCAGCTGCAGCAACACATACACCACCGAGCCTAAACCGATAATATCATTTTTTTTTTTTTAGCATGGCCCCAAGGATAGGCAGAAGGCTCCATTATGTGCCTGAGGATTTCTCTGTTCTGTTTGAAGGACAGCTCTTAACCTCCATCCATGGCAGAAGGTGTGTGTGAGTGGGTTGTGGGGATTAAGCAGGATGGCATGTGTGACATACTTAGCCAGTATGTGCTACAGCTCGAGGAACATTGCTGGATTTAGGCCTTAGTCCTGCTTGATCAGAGACTTAGCCTCTTCTTTTAGAGGTTCTAAGAGGAATTTGCCACCTGCCTCCTCTGATACATCCCTACACTATGGGTACCTGTGTGGTTACACAGGGAGTATAAACATGCTTCACAGGGAGGAGAGCCAGCTTTCTCTTGGGTATCCCATTGTGCTGACACAAGAGGACCCTGAACTGGGAAAGGCAGGCCTGGCTTTGTCACTGATACCTGCATGAGCCAGACTGGAAATTGAGATTTACATAGCCTCAGTTCTGCCTTTAACAGAAGAAGGGGCAAGAGCTGGCTCAGAGCATGTTTAAGTGCCAGCCTAAGTTCACCCCATGGGGACAGGGTGGGTATGCCCTTCCTGCAGGAGGAGACAAATACTTGAACACCTACTAGAAGTGCTGGCCTTACATACAGGCCAAGGAGTGGAAGTCGAGGACAGTGAGAGTCAGACACTAGCTTCTTGATGCCCCCTTATGTTCACAGAAAGCACAGGCCACGAGCATTCAGATTCTAATAATGAAACCACCAGCTTATGAGACTTAGGGTCATGGAATAAATGACACCCTTGAATCACTGATTCAAGTTCATGACAAAGACAGCAGAAAGGAAAATGGGCTTTGCCTAAAGTCTAATACAGACTTTCCTCGACACCCCTGAGGGATGTTTTAGGTCCCACAGAACTGTGCTGCTGGATGGAATTCCCATCTGTAATGGCTCTTAAAGAAGGTCAAGGAACTCTCAGCACATACCAGTTCTTCCAGGAGGTGGGTGCCGGCCATATCTGAATGGGTGTGACTGGGCAGGACCAAGATTTTCAGAGACTGGGAGGTGTATCTGGTTCTGATGAGGAAAGGGCTAGAAAAAAGTTTTCAACACAAATGTGCTTTTGAGTCAAAGCAGAGGTTTTACATCAGTTCCCACAGCTTGAATGGCAAACATGGCTTTCTGGGACTTCAAAAAAATTTTTTTGCTTTATTTTTATTTTATGTATATGCATGTATTGCCTGCATGTGTGTAAGTACACCTATATTGTATAATGCCTGTGGAGACGGAAGAGTGTGTTGGATCTCCTGGAACTGGTGTTATGGACAGTTGTTAGCTGCTATGTGGGTGCTGGGATTCAAACCCGGGTCCTCTACAAGAAGAGCTAGTACTCTTAACTGCTGAGCCATCTCTTTAGCCTGGGACATGAAAAATTTTAATTAGTTCACAAGATACCAGATAAGAGAATTTTACAAAAAGTTCTGAATTTGGGGGTTTTTATCTTAGAAATTCGTGTAGTGCAATGCCCACAAAAGACAGAAGCTGCTGTCTAGAACTGGAGTTATGGACAGTTGTTAGCTGCTATGTGGGTGCTGGGATTCAAACCCGGGTCCTCTACAAGAAGAGCTAGTACTCTTAACTGCTGAGCCATCTCTTTAGCCTGGGACATGAAAAATTTTAATTAGTTCACAAGATACCAGATAAGAGAATTTTACAAAAAGTTCTGAATTTGGGGGTTTTTATCTTAGAAATTCACAGCCTTTTGGAGCCCACATGTCCATATGGCAAGTCAGAAGACCTGAATACAGCAGCATCTTTGGGGTGATGCACATGCTATCCTATTGCCTGGTTCCCAACACCGAAGCTGGGCATCAGAGAACATCTATCTACCCACTCACTTGTGGGTTTGTTTTCCTTAAGTGGGAGTATACAGATTGAGGATTTGGTTTGAGAGAAGCAGGCCAGAGAGTGGAAGTGGAGAGTATCTCTACTTGATTAGCATGCAAACCAGTGCTCCTGTGAGCAGACACACCTGCCCGCTGTGCTCATGAAATGAGGCCCCTGTGGACACTTAGTTCCTTACCACTACTTTTTTGTTCAGTGCTGGGGATGGTACCCATGGTGTCAGCTGTGCTAGGCAAGTGCTTTACCGCTGAGTCACACCCTCAGCCCTTATCCTCACTTTTAAGAAGGTCAAAACATTTACTGCTGAACACACACTGCCTTTTTGAGCAGTTCCTGGTGTCTGTCATCAGAAGTAAGGGTAGCTAAAGTAAGTTCTCCACAAGCAGTGCTGCAAACGTGCTTCAGGAGGCAGGCTGCTGTGTGAACCACATGCTGGCTGTCGTGACCGCCTGGCTGTCTTACGCTGGTAGAGCAGGCAAAGGAGGAAATGTGGCTAGAGTGCGAAAAAAGGTCTAAAAGGCAATGGGACAAATAAATCAAGCCAAGCTTGGTCACCAACACCATGGTAAGCAGCACACAGTGTGCACTACATAGTCTTTAGGGGTGTGTGCTATACCACAGTCCCATGGCAATGCCCTAGTGATATAGTCAGTGGGAGATGTGAAATCCTACTCGAGCACACGTCTTAGTGATAGGCCTCCACAGGTCTTACCACTCCACAACACATCAGCACATTGTGACATTCTCTTGACACACAGGGAAAGTGAGTGAAGACAAGGTACTGATTTTGAGCTTGGATGAGGTGGCCACACAGTGGCACCCTTATGGGTGTGGCTTAAGCGGGCACTTATTTGAACCTCCTAAGTTTACATCTACAGAGACCTTTGAACTCTGTGGTATCTGTGTCTCAGGAAGGGCAACACCTTGTGCTGGTAGCTTCATTGTCAACTTGACACAGTGGGGGAAGAGGAAACCTCAGTTGAGAATTTCTTCAATTTCTTATTTGTTAATTGATGGGGGGAGGGCAGATCATTGTGGGTGGTGCCATCTCTGGGCTGTATAAGAAAAGTAGCTGAGCAAGTCAATGGAAGGTGAGCAGCATTCCTCCGAGGTCTCAGCTTCAGCTCCTGCCTCAAGTTCCTGCTTGATGTCCCTCAATGATGAACTGTGCCTTGAAGTGTAAGATGAAATAAACCCTTTCCTCTCAAGCTGCTCTGGTCATGGTGTCTGTCACAGCCACAGAAAAGCAAACTAGGCTTCACCTCCACTCTAGATGCAGCACATTCTTAGGTGTGAGTCTGGGGAAGTGTTGGCCAGGACAATGGAGTAAGCACAGACTTGGGAAAGGCAGAATGCCTGTTGCACTGAGTTTTTGTCTTTGCTTCACAGAGGCCCAAGGAGGGGTCTAGCTTTAGCCCAGGGGCCTTCACAGGGCAAAGGAAGACCGTGCAGGACTCCAGCACTGAGGACACAGCAGCTATGCGGAACAGCTGACAGGCTAAATGACCCCTTTCCTGCTCCAAGAGTCTCACGTCAGAGTCTTCACACCAAGGAGTGAGGAGACTTTGGAGGCCATACGTCAGCCACTAGCTCCCACCTAGCAGAGCACTCTTCTCTGTGATGGGGTTCTATAGGCCTCAACACTTACCTCCAACATCCGGGACCTTCGGATAGTGATGTGAGTAACATGAGGAGAGGCGGAGCTGGTTTCCACAAGCCCCAGCTTCTCTTTCTCCTTAGTAACCATATTTCGGAACAGGAGAACTCTCTGGAATGAGCAAAGGTGGGACCAGAAACAGTGTCAACTAATGCCTTAAACGAAACAAAAAAACCACTACAAAATGATGAAAATTCAAGTCATTTGAGATGCCACTAGAATGGGGTGCCCTGATGTGCTGCTGCTCAGAGGTGTTCTGTGAGGACAGTAAACAATGCCAAAAGCACTTGTGGGAATTAGAGATACAGATGAACTCGCACCAAGACAGGTATGTTTCAGATTGAGGGGTCTGGCTACAGCCAGAGTCCAGCTAGAAACAGTCTAGTCTAGTCAATAGCCACCTCAGAAACCCGGGTGCACAGCAAACTTCAGACGCAGCTTTCTGTAGCTGTGCCTGCTTCAAGGAAATCTATACTATGAGCTGAAGACACAAAACACATTCAAAGATAATTTTTTTCACTGCCAGAAATTAAAACATGACCTTACAGTATATAAAGACCCTTGGTCTTTCTGTCACCTCCTCTGGCCCTCATGCACTGGCAGCTGTGTCTGGACTCTGGATCTCCACGGGGTGTGGAAGGAGGTCCAAGGCAACCGTATCTAGCCTTTAGGGGGCTGACAAGCCTCAGTGACCTCAACAAATACCTGAGGATCATTTTCTCCACTGTACAGATGAGGACACTGACTTACCTAAAGTCATACAGCCAGAGGGGGCACAACCCAGAGCCCATTCACAGCTGCCCACCCCACACCACTTAAGCTTTCAGGCTGAAACAAGAGGCAGAGGCCAGAGGCCCCAGTTGGTAAGACAAGCTGCAGGTGATCAGGTTAAAATGAAGGAGTACAGAGAAGTGCTGTGTGTGAATGAGGCACAGCAGGGCTCAAAAGATGTTAAGGGAACAAAGACAGGAACGCAAAGGACAGGGTCAATGGACAGGGTGGATGGCAGAGTAGCAGATCCTGTGTGCTCCAGCCATACTCTTTCAGCAGTAGAGGGTGGCCAGGATACTTTGAGTTAAAAGGGAAGAGGCCACATAAGAGAGGAGACAGCAGGAGCTCCCCTCCCTGCCCCCACCGCACTCTTCACACCCCAGGCTCAGGCATCTCCAGGACTGCTGGTGTAATCAGAAGGAGCAACACAGGGCCCAGGAGGTGAGGAAGGACCTCACCTTCCCCAGGGTGGGCATTTGAAGAGGCAAGATACAGCCTTGATGGCAACTTTATGCAAAATTTTGAAAAGGAAAAAAAAAAAAAGGTTAGGGTTAGCATGTACATAGTCTAGTAGCCCCTAGACTCAAGTCACTACAACTCATTTCAGTTCCCAACTCTGCTGCTCACAGCACCCCTGTGGTCTCAGTGCATGACCAGTTCATTAGGCAGAGAGGCCCTAACAACTTAAAAGACTATTTATGGAGCTGGGAGTAGGTGCAGTGTCAGAGCACCTGCTTAGCATGTACGAGACCCTGCCTGGGTTTAATTCCCAGTACAGGGTGGGAGAGAACTTGTGCTCGAAGAACTTAGTAGGTGAATGTTTTAAATGAACATAAATTATTTTGCTTCACTCTTAAAATCCAGACTTGCAAATCCAACACTGCTGAAAGGGAGGCAGTGTGACTGGATCTCTCCTGAACTGTCCTGAACTGATAGCTCGCATGGCATCTGTGTTCCTCTCAAAGATTGAAACTCTTCTCTAGCAGCCCTGGGTGTCCCAGAACACTGTTCATGAACTGTACCCATACAGATCTGCACTATGGAAATGCTAAGGCCAGAGGCTGGTTCAGGACAAGGACACCACAAAGCCACAGGCAGTCAGAAATGAACGGCTAGAGGTGACTTCCAAAGAGGAATCACCAGGGAAGCCAAAGCTGCTATTAGGCAGAACATGGAAGACATAGAAGGCAAATGACAGCTGCCCGCAAATCTCAGGAGACTTCACCACAGATCAGAGATCCACCCTAGCGGTGGATCAAAGTCTGAGCAGATGCTGCAGTGCAGCAGCCAGCTAAGGACAAGAAGGAACACAGCATTGCTTGGAAGAGCACAGCACAGGATGGCCTGCTGCACAGGATGGCCTGCTCTGCAAGGTGTATGCTTTCTATCAGAGGCAGGCCAGGGATGCTCTGCATGTGTGTGTGCGTGCGTGCGTGCGTGTGTGTTGGGGGCTCTGTCAAGGAGGGCATGTTTGACCAAGAAGCTCTAGGAGGTTCTGTCATTCCTGAGAGCCTGTCAAGTGCAGCAAGAATTTAAACAGCCACATCATTTACATACCACTGCTTGAGCAGAATAAATAACAACAGGAAGTAGTAAAGCCAAGGTCAAATAACTGGAGACCAGTGAGATGCAGTATCTCCGAAAAGTGAGATTTAATTATAAAAATGACATTTATGAGCTGGGCAGGGTGGGTACAAGCCTTTAATACCAGCAGTTGGGAGGCAGAGGCTGGTGGAGCTCTGTAAGATCGAGGTGAGTTCTAGACCAGCTGGGACTACAGTGAGACCTCATCTCAAAAAACAAACCAAGGGACTCAGAGGTTAAGCACCGGTTGCTCTTCCAGAGGACCTAGGTTTTGTTCTCGGCACCCACATGGCAGCTAACAACCATCCATAACTCCAGTTCCAGGGGATCCAATGTCCTCTTCTGACCTCTGCAGGCATTGTATTACATAGGTGCACTTACATACATGCAGGCAATATACTCATACACACAAAACAAACAAACAAACAAAAAAACCAAACCCAAAGAAAGGCACTTATGCTATTTTCTAAAAATGTACCTATTAGGGGGAGGGAGGGGAGAGTCAAGCAAAGGGCACTCCTAGGCTCTAGGGCCCTCTTCTGAGGGGGCCTTGACACTGTCTGGTATGCAGCAGGGCAGGTTGGAATGCCCCATTCAAGGGATGTGAGCAGTGCCTTCTAGCACACCCTGGAGGCTCCTGCCCCTATATCTGACCCTTCCTAAGACTCTCTCATCTTGTGACACCACACAGCCCTGGTTTTCCTCTTCCTGCTCTCCTCAGTCCCTGGACCTCCTCTATGCTATCCTACTTCCTAGCCCATAGGTGCAGGCAGGAGGGCTGTGTGCTGCCCAAGTACAGAATGTACCTCAAGCCCAGGCTCTTCTGAGCTCTGCAGTCACCAGGAGCCACAGCCACTTCACTCTGCCTGCTCACAGAGGAACTCACCACCATGTTCCAGACTTGCTCTTGTTTTCCTTTCTACCCCAGGGGATGGCCCTCCCAGGCCAGAAACCAGAATCACCTTTAGCTCTCCTTTGCTGCTGAGTGCAGCCTATAGAGGTTAGCTCCTAAAGTCTCCTGACTTGGTCATCTTTCTACTCTGGCTCTGCCCAGTGTGGGCCAGCAAGCTCTAATGTCTCTGCTTCTAACCAGTTCTCACACCACAGTCAGAACCATCTTTCTGAAGCACAGATCTGACCAGGAGCCTTCTCAACTTAAAATGCTGCAATTGTTCTGAATGAACCCCAAGTTCCTAGCCTTGGTTTACAAGTCCCTTCTGGCTCTGACTCTTACAAACCTTCTTAGCTTCTCATCCTGACTGTGTCCTTCAGTCTTTGGCTTCTCTCTCACCCTAGGTCTTGAAGCTTGGCCCAGTTTGGTTTGTGGAGCCCTCTCTTCACCCATTTTCCTCCCGGACAGCTAGATGAGATTCCTGTGCAGGTTTCCACAGGCCTCATGCCACACTGCCTTCTCTGTCTCACACCCCAGTAACTCAGCACAACCTGCTGGAGTAAAACAACACTGTGTTTATGGGATAAGTGATGCCATGCAGACATGTCCAGCTGCCATAACAGAGGAGGAGTTAGAGACCACGTGGGACAGAAAAACACACCAGGAGCTTGGCTCTGAGTCAACTTACATTCTTGTGAGGGACGACATGGGGGATGTGCTGCAGGATCAGCTGAGCCCTCTTGCGGTCCTTGTCAAGTTCTTGGAAGAGCACACTAGGCTTGAGGTCTCTTTAGAAGAGAGATGTGGGCTCAGGTTACTAAAACAAGAAAAGCCTTCTCTAGTACAGAGCTGGCAAACAGGGCATGTGGTCTGAATTGGGCCTGCTGCCTGCTTTTGTAAATCTTATGGAAATATAGCCACACCCACTCATTCATGCATGCCCTGTCTATGGCCGACTTCATGTCATGACAGCAGAGTGGCTGCAATAGAGACTGGTCCACAAGCCCTTAATGGCGGTTTGTGAGGACCTGCTCTGGTGCCAGAGCTGCAAGGATGTTATGAGAGTTGACAGGCTACTGACAGAAATGCTGACGTGTTCTTGAGTTTAGTTGCTGTCAAAAGACTCCCCTACTCCATCTCCAAAACCTGAAAGCATTTACCCTGGTATTTCTGCTGTTAAAAATTCCAATGTAACTATCATACTCTGTTGCTTAGGTCAGCTGAGAGAACGTCTCTTCCCTGTGGATGGGACACAGCTGCTGAGAGGGACCTGGCCTTGTCACCATTAACTAATTCAATGACACGAGTGACTGCTAAGTGATGCACCTGAACAGGTGCTTCACAGGAACAGCAGCTCTTTCTGCAGACAAACAGACAGGGTGAAGAAGAGGAAGGGTTCTTCACCCTAAGCACAAATGCTCTGTTGCAGGAGGTGATAGAGGACCCAGGCTTCCTTCCATGAGCCCTTCCATCCCATGCTCACTTTCGCAGCCAGTGGTCTTCTGGAGCAAAGCGCCGCCGGCAGTCCCGCTCATACAGCACCATCAGCCACCCATGGACGGACTGGAACAGCTCCAAGGTTTCACCCTTGGCACTCTCTGCGGGGTAAACAGATCATGTAGGAGAGGGGTCAGAGCTGCAGCAGCAGCAGGACAGCTCTTACCCACCTCTCTTCGGGTCCTCCACAGGCCTGATCGCTCTCTCTGACTTTTCAGTGGAACCACTGGCCTCCTAAGAGTATACTACTCAAAGGTCATTTTGTCTCTAGGGAGCTTTGTACTGAACTAGAGGAAACACATCAGAAGTGGACTCTGATTTGCAGTGTGAACTAGCACACATCTCATCTCCATGGACAGCAACATGAAGATGGAAAAGGAGCTTCAGGGGAGAGTTAATCACCAGCAATAGCCCTTGATCCAAACATGCAAATCTTGAAGCACCCGGTAGTGAGACTTTCACAGCCACACTGTCTTACAAGGGCATTTGCAGATACGTGAATAAATGTGGATTTTTCTATTACCTTTGGGAGATAACAAAGAACCAGTTGAGGTTACAGACTGTGGCCTCCCTGGGTGCAGCATCACTTAAGCAATGTGGACACCTTTACCTTACCTACAATTCCATCCCAAATCATTTTAAACACGAAGGAATTCAGGAAAGAAGAGATGGTGACCAGTTCTTCCAGTTTAAATGAAATTTGTTCTTCATAAACTTCGATGTCATCGAGGATCCTACATGAGACAGAAGATTATTCATAATTTTCCACTGAGAAAGGAAAAAAAAAGAGATCTCATCTCATGACACAACAAACAAGGTGAAGAAATATGCTGTCTTTTCTAGACACTTCCCATAGAGCATGGAGATAAAATGAGATGTCTAAGATTGGCCTCAGAGTGACTTGGGAAAGGATGGCAGCGGAGGGTTAGAAGAAGCATGACTGCCGTGAACTGGAACTGTGGAGGCTGGTGATGGCACAGGAGGGTTCCTTGAGCTTCCCACCTTCTGTTTACTTGAAATCATTGAGTAGGAAGATGAAACAATTAAGAAAAAATAATGAACTCTACTCTTGGGCGTGACTGATAAGGCTTTATGAGTGACACTTTCTTTATCATCCTTCATTCATGCCTGAATATGAAGGAGTCTTCCATCAGAGTCTGCTTCCTGAGGAACACTGCAACCTCATTCCAACCTTGGAGAGACACCAGTGGTACCTGGTGCTTGTGAATGAATGAATGTTTGAAAGAACATATGAACGAACATGTGAGATACATGGCTTCACTAAAACCTCTCCACACACTTTAATATAGAGCTCAGTCTTAGGCTTCCCTTGACTCAGCCATTAAGGTATTTATCCCAGTCATCAGAGACCCCCTTCCTGCAGGACACTCACCAGTCTGCCACCTCCATGTCCTTGATCCTCTCTTGCTAAGATCTATCCTATAACTTCCCACCAATCTTTCTGGGAAAAGTGGAAGACACAGAATACCAAGTGAACAAGTAAACACATTTAATAAGCTAAGTAACTGAATGGGACAAGCATTTGTTAACACTCTGAGCCTGACAACACTGTCCTAAATACGCCCTCTCTTCTTCTTTTTGAGACAGGGTCTCATTATGTAGCCCTGGCTGACCTATGAACTCATAGAGCTCTACCTGCCTGCTTCCCAATTTCAGGGACAAGGTGTGCACTACCATGTCTGGCTCTTATTTAACTGTCTGATTGGTAATGTAATCACCATTCCACTAATAAGGAAGGAGGTCAAGCACCTTGCCCAGGGTCAGCCTTATACAATGATAAAAGCCAAGGCATATTGAGCCTTTCTCGTGCTAGGGACAGAGTTACTTGGCATTAATTTTCTCTTTATCACATGCCTAAGGTAGATGCTGGTGTTACTTCCACTTACAGATGAAACTGTATGTCTCAGTAAATAGCTGGCCCCAGTTTTGCATTCTGGCTTTCTGAGTCTGGAATTTCTCTGTAATTTACCTATCAGTGAGTCAATGACTGAGTTGTGATTTGAACATATCTGTAGGAGACCACAAAGCCCACACACGTGGTACTGGCCCAGCTGCCCTGAAAGGACCTAACAATTGCTGAATACTAGGTAACTGCCATCTGCTTTGTGAATGTCTTCTTTTCAGTTTTTTGGGGGGAGGAAGAAGGGGGAATGGGTAAGGGGTGATGGGTTCATGTTATGTTGCCTAGGCTGGTCTTGAGCTCATGGGCTGTTGATCCTCCTCAGCCTCAGCCTCCTGCAGTCACATGTATACACCACCAGCTCTTGTTCAGTTCTTACGGTGACCTGCCACACAGGTCCACAGGTCTGCTGTGATCCTATCAGCAGTTACTTGCTTCCCAACACCATCAGCCTTGCCAAATCCTAGGAAAGACATTCAGCCCACAGCAGTCAACCTACGTGATGAGGTGCCGGGAACAATCACAGAACAGCATCAGCATGGCCAAGAGCTGCTTGGACTCCCCAGTGTCATTATTGAGGCATTCTAGAAAGAGCTTTAATCCTCCATGGGGTCCCAGCTCACAGATAAATGCCCACAGCTTGGGCAGCAGATCATCAAGGTAAGTGAGGCCTGGAAGACGACAGAGAAATCCAAGTTTCAGGTGGGGCTCCAGCAAGTGCCATAACTGAGGCTGGCTTGAACTACCCACGGTGTTGTACCAATCTCTAATAGCTCAAAAATGCCCTCCTTTAGAATCTATTTTCTGAGTTGAGGAAGTCAGAAGAAAGTCAACTTTTTCTAAGAAAAATCGCCTGCCACCTTAGAGAGGGAAGCTTGCCTCAGGCCTTCAAACCTGTGAGTATCTGCAGGCGGATCTGGGTCAGAGTTGTCAGCGAGGTCTGGTAGAGGACACAGATGCTGCAAACCTTCTGGACCTCAGCAGAGTCCACACGTTTACCCCCAACAGGCCTAAGGATGTTGCGAACCGAAGCAGACTTCTGAAATGCACGCTTGAGGAGACCTGGCATGGAAGAATGGGAACCAGCAGAAAGTTTAGCCATCTGCCAGCGCTGCCTTGTCAGGGAAAGGGTGCTGCCACAGCCCCATGTCTCAGCCAGGCTGATGGCAGGTCTGCTACGTGGGCTCCAGATGCTTCTTTGGGTAAACTGAAAAACACTATCGATGGGTTTTTAGTGCAACCTAAAGACCGCTTCAGATTATTTTAACATTGTTCAGAATCAGCCAGGCATCTTCAACTCTGACATGAAATTCTTTTACTGTATCATCTAATTTCAAGAAAACACAAAGCGAAAACTGTAGAGGAGCATATCTGAATAGAGTGAAGGGCAGAGGGTCTGGCTGAATCACAGTTTTCTGTATTTTGGAGGGAAGTGTGGTGAGCATCCTCAAGCCCTGAGCCCTGGTTTTGAACAGTATTCTTCTGTTTAAGCTTTCCTGTTTATGGTCTGTTTAAGTGACATGTGCTGAATCCACATTCAACTCACTGTTGGTTACAAAACAGTCAAGCCACCCATGGGTAGAAGAGCCAATGACAGTTTGTATCATGGGCAGGAAATCATGGAAATGTTGGTCATATTTCCTTAGTTTTTATCACAATGGGACCAATAAGCCTTTCCACAATACCCAATCTACACCCTGCTGTAGGGGTGCTGCTGAGGGGCTGGCCTGTGACTCAGTAGAGGAGACTCAGATGGGAAATTTATTTTATGATTAGGAAATTAGACAAGCTCTAAGTTCCCTATAAAACAGACTTTTCCCTTCTTCCCAGTAAGAAGAAAGGGTTCACAAACCCCTTCTCATTTTGGCTACCAGGAAGTTCACAGGCAAGCTGAAGTTCAGAGATGGCCAGAGTGGCCCTGCAGAACATGTATCTTTGGACCTTTCTATGCACACAATCACCTCCTTCTATTTCCCTGGCCCAATTTTCATCCTATTTGTATCTGTCGTGCTGAATGTGGACTCAAGCACTCTCTGATGCTGTGGGAGCAGCAAGAGCATCCCTCAGGCAGTGGGGCACCATATGGCAAGAACCAGGAGCTGCCCCTCTGCCAGCACTGCCACTCACTCTTTACTGGGAGCACATTCTGTGGGGATGATGGCTGCACAGGGGCTGGCTCGGGGTGCTCCAGCAGCTTCTTGCTGAGGATGTCACTGAAGAAGATCCGGATGAGAGGCACCCCCCACAGGAACTGCAGCTGCTTGGTGATCAGGCTCATGGACTCATTGAGGCTGGGAGAGAGCAGGAGACAGGCATATCAGCCCCACCCACTGTCTGTAAGGGACAGCCCACTGTGCTCCCTAATGGCCCTCTGCAGAACAGACCAGATAAGAACTGAGCAGGTAAGGTGTCACATGCCTGCAATCCCAGCACTAGGGAGGTGGCTTGCCAAGTTGGAAGTTAATTTGGGCTGCACAATGAGACGGTCTAGAAAACAGAAATGACCCAAAAGATGTAAAAGGAACCAGATGAGCCAACTGTCACCAAGAGCTGGGTATGTGAAGGCACCAAATACTGCCCTCCTCTGGCATGTCATCTGGAGCCACTCTCCCAGCCCCCCAGCAGACAAAAACTGTCCCATACCAGCTACGCTGCCCTCTTCCTTTTAGCTGGCCGAACACCTTGCCGCTCCATACCTCTGTAGCATCTCCTTGCCACTGTAGTCTACTCCTAGCACCACCCCATGCCGGGATCTGTCAAGACCCACAGCTGGCTCCCACCACACCGTCATGAGGAACAGCTGCTATCCACTGAGCCTAAGCCAGACTCTGGCATTCGATACTATCAGAGTCCAGAGTACTCAGCATACATGATTGAACCCACAAAACAACTCTAGCAGAGGCATGATGTTGACTACCCTGTATTTCAGATGAGAAAAATTGGGTGAAAGGAGTGGTTTAAGGGCCTCTTTGAAAAGGCAGTAGAGCCAAGGCTGCCAGTTCAGGAGCTATTCTACCTACCCCACCTGCCCCTGGGTCCCTCCTTCCCACGCCAAGTACATGTGCTCATTTTCTCCAAGTGGGTGTCACACAGGGTAGCAGTGTCCTTTAACTACAGGTCTCAAGGATGTCACTCAGATAAAAGAAACGGGGGAAAATCTCAGGCATATCTGACAGGAAGCAGCTGGGCATCCCAGTTGTTCAGCCTGGGTGAGGCATCCCAGGGCGCGTAGGCCACAACTGTGGGGCTGCCTGACTCACGCTCTGTTCTCCACACAAGTGTTTCTAGTGACTCCAAGTTCAAAACTCTGACTTTCCCATTCCATCTCCAGGAAAGGCCTGGGGAACTTTCATTCCTTGAAACTATTTGCTTTTGTTTCGGTGTCTCTAAGTTTCCTAGTCAGTCAATGAAGGTGGCTGAAGAAGGAAAGCATTGATGGCCAACCTCCATGATTTAATAGAAGGAGCAAAGTGAAAACTGTATCATCTGTTTTGTGAAAACAGTGTCGCCATAAGACACGACTGAAAGAAAGCTTGTTCAGGTCACTTGGGGTACGAGGGTCATGGGATATTTTTAATTCCCTTGCTCTGATGTTTGAATCCAGGCCTTGCACATGCCAGGCAAGCCCCCTAGAACTGAGGCAAAGCCCAGCCCATATGTCTGTTTCATACAATGAATACATATTATAATAAGTAAAACAAAAGGGGAGGAAGGCAGCAACATCTCTCCAGGACTTACCCATAGTCCACAGACTGGGAAAACCAGCCAAGGACAGGATGCCAGTGGGTCAGGTTGGATTTCTTCTGGGACACATACTTCTGACAGTAGCAGAGCATCTGGGTGAGCAAGCTCACAAACCCATCTGTCTCTTCCTCTAACACTTTGGGGCTGAGGGAGCCCAAGTATAGGAGGTTGCCTACAAAGAGAGGGCTGAATGGGATGGGCCAGACAGACACTCTCTGGAGCCTCCTAGTCCAGCTCTTTGCCTGTGGCTCACACAGCCGTACCCTATGTATAGGAAAAGATTTTACATGAGGGATTTCTCTCAGTGCCACACTATGGTGAGAAAGAACCAGGCTGACCTGATTAAATATTAGCTTGGCTACACATGAGCTACATAGCTTTCAATCTACCTCCTGAGCTCTAAGGCAGGGACAATGATCCCCACTCTTTGTATGAGTACTGGAGGAAGGTACACAGGGGTGCACAATATTTAATATTACATTTCACTACTATAACATTTAAAAATCAGGAATGAACGTGAGACATTAGCTAAATGTCCTGGGGAATTAATGGATTTACCGTTCACCAAAGTACTTCAAGATCCCTCACGTGAAGACTATTAGCAGACTTTCCCCTGAAAGTTCAGCCAAGAAATGGAGGTGCCATGACAGGTTGGCTTGAACTGCATGAGGTGGACCAATCTCTAAAAAGACAGTTGTATCTAAATTCTTCCCATTGGGCAATGAGAATTATGTGTCTGCATAGTTTTCTAAAGTCTCCTCCCACAAACCCTCCCTTCATCTCTAGTAGAAACACTAACCCAGTGAAGCAAGTGCTCCTCTGATCTGAGTCTGCCCAAACACTCCCCACCTTTTCTCTTCAGGGGTGAATGATCCAGACAACTCACTCCACTCTCAGTTTTCCCTCGGCCTCCAGAAAGTCAACAGTTGAAGTTTAAGTGTCCATTTAGTCAGGTTTTCCTTGTGATTTTTAATTGTATGTCTATTTGAACTACGAATCTGAATACATGTTTTATAGTAAGCCTTGCCAAGCATTACCAAAGATAAGCGAGAGCTCAACAAAGCCTATGGGCTTCCTCAACGGCCAGAACCAACCCAAATCCAGCTGCCTGTACTCACCCATTAGACACAGGGTATGGCATCCTTCTAGACTTTCACAGATGTCACGGCACCGGTCTTTGTCTCTTAGAAATACGATGAATTTACGAAGCATATCATGAGATTCTAAAACACTGAGACGCTGCAAACAATGGCAGATAATTAAAGAGACTGACAGGGTTTCCCACAAGGGCACAAACTTTATTATGAGCTCACTTCCCCTACTTATGTGGAACATGGCATCAAACACAAAGGAGAGAATAGATGAGAACAAGAACCTGCTCTTTTGGGCTCCTAACAGGAATGTGTCCACACTGGCTCTTGGAAACATTGAGGGAAGGAACAGAAGTAAGTACAGAAACTGTTTTGCTTTCTAAATTCTAACAATCAAGGCAGTGATGGTACTGGCACGCTCACCTCAGGGGTCACTGTGCTGAGATGAGTCACGAGAGCAGGCACCGACATGACATGGACAAGGAATGGCCTCATCAGATTGTCTGAGAACTGTGCAGCAACCACAGGGCTAGATACAGAGAGAGCAGTGTGTTCAGACAGGCGTGTGTACAGCACAGCCACGGTGCAAGACTGCATAGCTAGGAAAGGTCAGGTCTCAAGTTTCACTAACATGAGAAAATGCCCATGCTATAATAAATTATGAAAAAAGCAAGATAAAAAACTGCAGGTGGGAGAGGAGAGAGGGGCTTGTGATGAGAAGGGAGGGAAAGGGGCTTCTGTACAAGCCACTTCTCAACAGGCAGTGCTTCCCCATCTGTGTCCTCTCAGTGACAACTCACCAGTAATGCACACTTTAAGCACAGTCTATTTTAATGTACACAGCCTGCTAATTAACATTTAAAATACACAAACACATGAATACATACAAAAGCCTGAAAAATAGATAACTAGTTTCCTTCTTCATGTGTGTATTTTTAATATTTATTATTTTTATTTTATGTATATAAGTGTTTTGCCTGCATGGATATAAACGCACCCATGTCGTGCAATGCCCCTGGAGGTCAGAAGAGGGTTTCAGATCCCTTGGAACTGGAGTTATTGAACGGCTGTTAGTCACCAACAGGGTGCTGGGAATTGAACCCGGGTCCTCTGCAAGAGCAGTCAGCGCTCTTAGCCACTGAGTCATCTCTCCAGTCCCACTCTTTACATTTTTATGTTTTATCTACGTTTTTTAAAAATAATAAACATATGCATTACTTCCACGGTCATAAGATAAATAGTACAACAAAATAAAACTCCTAGACTAGACATGGTGATGCATATCAGTAATACCAGCACTTGGAGGTTGAAGGAGAAGAAATCATGAGTTCAAGGCCAGCCTGGCTATATTTATGAGACACTGCTTCAAAACCAAACCAAGGCAAGGGATGTAGCTCAGTGACAGAGTGCTTCTTGAACATGCCAAGATCCCTAGCACTGAAAAAAATAAAAAACACCGAAAAGCTAACAACCCCTAGATCTCATACCATACACAAATATTAATTTAAAGATGGATCACAGATCTTAATGCTAATTTTATAACTAAAATTATTAAATTCTTAGAAAGAAACCCAGATATCTTTGTGAGCTTAGGTTATTCAATGACTTCTTTGATAAGACACTAAAAGTGCCAAGTACAAAGGAAAAATAAATTTCACTTCACAAAAACCAAAAGAGGCTTGTGACTCAAAAGGCAGACTGAGAACGTGGGAAGGTGAGACAGGTGGGAGGAAGCACCTGCAAACTGTATCACCTGCAGCAGCCCTGTGTCCACAGCAGAAAGAGCCCACTAACTCTGTAATGAAGGACGACCCAGTTAAAAGACAGTGGAAGGAAGCCCGTGTGGTGACTCGCACCTATAATCCCAGCTTGGGCGGTGGGGAGAGGAGGATCAGGAATGTAAAGCCAGTCTACGTTAAAACCAAATCAAAAACACAAAACTGGCAACAGGAAGCCAAAGGATCTAAACAGATATTTCTCCAAAGAAGACACACAAATGGTTAATAAACACACTTTCGTGGCTGACATCAGCTGTGAGGGGACTGCAAATCCAGATGACTGTGAGGCACCACTTTCTACTCCCTAGCTAGAAACCAAGTGTTGGCGAGGTGGAGAATAGACTGGAGCTTGTACTCGCTGCTGGTGGGAAGGTGAGCCAGGTCTTCGAAAACTTAAGCATCAATGACGAAGCCATTTTACTCCTAGAAATATACTGAAAAGGAAATAGAAACATATGCCTACTCAAAAACAGACATGCCCAAAGGCCAACCTGATCTATAGAATTCCTCAATGAGACTCTCTTTCCAGGTGATCTAGATTGTGCTGACAGTTAAAACTACCCAGCAGAAAAAGCCATGCAGAAAAAGAAAAGGGAAAAGACATGAAGAACTTACAGGAAGAAGGTAATTTCTTCCAGCAGACGTATCCAATAGCAATGAAGGGCTGTTACTGGCTTTCACACTAGAATTTTATCAGAATTTTTACTCTGAAGAGTACCATTTGGGGGACAAGAAAAAATTTAAGTCTGAAATGCTACCATAACGTCTTGTATAGGTAAAGTTGATCACCCAAAGTAATCTCACTGATTTCAGTTGGCCAAAATAGAAAATTCAGTTCTTTGACAGAGTTAAGGCACACAAGAGAACGACACTGAAACCCTGACTAGTCACAGGGGCCCAGGGGTGGTACCTTCTCTGAGGGTTCACGAAGGTGCCTGATTCCACCCTGGGCTATGTCTCCAAATAACTCAGTCTGAGCAGGCCAGGGAAGTCAGGGAGAGGGGCACCAAGTATGGCTCGTAGAACTGGGCACAGGTCATACCTTCGAAACATTGAAGTTTTCCTGCTTCCACTACCTATCTCCTCAGTAAGATTTCTCTAGAACCTTTCTTTAGCTTACTTGCTCTGCAGCCTTAAGGGTAATAAATTAGATATACCATACAAATGTAATGCAATATCTAAGTTTAATAGAGCTAGACAAGGCAGAGTTCATGATACAACCAGCCTGCTGCAGGGAACAGCAGCTGGGACCAATGCACACAGAGCAATGCACCTGGGCAAAGGAGGTGCTCAGGGAGTGAATGTCCTGCTGGTTTGAGGAGCAGCACAAGTTTGGGAAGGGTCCCATGTGCCTTTTATTCAAGACAAACATACTATTCTTAGGACATGAAAGTGCCCCCTCTTGTGTAAGGCAAGAATAAACAGTTAATGGGCAGGGTGGGGCTCTGGAGTCAGACTGTCTAGGTTTAATTCCTAGCCTGGCCTCTTCTCACTGTGTGACCAAAAGCAAGCATTTTAACTTCTCTGGACTTTAGCTTTCTTATCTATAAAATGGAGATAAAAGAATGTGGTCAGGAATTGACTAATGCATGGAAGAAGACTTAGGACAATGCATGACTCATGATTTTCAGCTCTTCTTACTTGAGGATTTAGTGGTTACACTTAAACATATCACATTTTAATTTATAGGTTTTCAGATATTCCTGTACATGACAACACTGGTTATCTTATTTTAAATTGTATTGTTTGTTATTGTACATGTCTGTGTGTGCCAGCGAAGGTCAGAAGACAACATTGTGGAATTCTCTTTTTCCACCTTTATGTGAGGTCCAGGGGATCAAACTCAGGCTGTCAAGCTTGCACAAGTGCCTTTTCCCACTGAGTCCTGAGCCATCTTGCCAGGCTTGCATCTAATTTTAAAAGTTCCTGATTGTGTTCAATTATACACAAATAATTAGAGGGAGGACAGTACTGTTTAGTGGAAGAAAAAGCTTTATAGCAGTTGACCTTAACAAGCAATCAAAGGAACCCTCTACATGGAGAGTTATACTGTCAGAAGTTTGGTCTGTTTTGTTTGTGAGACAGGGTCTGATGTATCCCAGGTTGGTCTTGAACTCATTACATAGCCACAGATGAATGAGAACCTCTGATTCTGTCTCTATCTCCCAAGTGCTAAGGTTACAGGTATGCAGCATTATATTCATTTTCTATGGTCCTGGGGCTCAACAAAGCCTTGTGGATCGTAGGCAAGCACTGAGCCATATTCCCAGCCTAATGACTAGATTCTTTTGGTTGTTTTATTTATTTGTACTTTATGTGTATGAGTGTTTTGACTACATGGAAGTGCACCCATGTTGTGCAGTGCCAGGAGAGGTGAGAAGAGGGCATCAGATCCCCTGGAACTGGAGTTACGGATGGTTGTTAGCTGCCATATAGGTACAAGAAACCAAACCTGGGTCCTCTGCAAGAGCAGCTAGTGCTCTTAACCACTGAGCTATCTCTCCAGCTCCAGCAACTAGATTCTCAAAGGAGTACAGTGGAATGATTACATGTGACCACATTGGTAAATTATGGAAAACACTAAGCCTGGACCATTTGTATTCACTATGGCTCTTCTCCCACTGCAATGGCAGAAAATTTGAGAGAAGCTAGGTGGCCCACAGTGCTGGAACTATTATTTTCTAGGCTTTTATAGAAAAGATCACCAACACATGCTTCTACAGTGTTCCCATGTAGACACGAGGAGGGACTCCACACTCAGATGACTGGTTAAAGAAACTCAAGGGGCGATGTGAGAACACAGGCTTCAGAGCACTCAGCTCTGCTGGAGGAGGAAGGGCAGGCTGCTTAGCTCAAGCCGGCTTGACTACAGCACCCCTTTTTCCAGGATCTGTTACTAACCTCTCTCTACCTGAGTGATCCCCTCAGCAGTTTAATACTCTAGAGCCATTATGAATGGAACTCTTATTACTTGGCAGGTCTCAGAACTGTAGGTCTAACTTCTGTAAGGAAACCCTCCCCTGCACACTTACACCCTCTCTGTTGCTCCCAAGGCTAGCATTCCTATCACTGTTCTCTGAACCCTTTCCCCTGCCCCAGGCTGGACCTCCTCCAGCTCTTTGGATTCCATTAGTCTATCAATTAAAAACTCTTAGTTCTTTAGTCTATCAATTAAAAACTCTTTCTGCCACTGGTAGAAAGACCATAATTCACTGCGAAGAGCTTCCCTCAGATCACACTAAGATTAAGAAAAACTGTGAGTTGTCACAAGTGTATCTCTGTCCTAAAGATACATCCTGTAAAATTCAGACAAGGCAGGCAAAGCAAGCAAAAAGGAAACCAAAAGAAGAGGAGCGTGGGGAGTCAGCCTCTCAGTTCTTACCGCAATGCCAGAGAAAAAGCTGCTGTTAAGGTGCCTTTGGACAGACAGGGTCGGGATCTGGCCAAACCTCGGGTTAACAGTACCTGAAATGAATGTTCAACTCATCAGTTTGTACATTAAATATTTGTATCAATTTGTGAATTAAAAAAAAAAAAGGGTGGGCATGGTAGTGCATGTCTTTAATCCCAGCATTCATTTGGGAGGTAGAGATCTATGAATCTTTCAGGCAAGTCAAGGCTACATAATGAGACCATGTTAAAAGAGGGAGAGGGAGGGGGGGGGAAGAGGGGAGGGGGAGAGAGAGAAGAGAAGAGAAGAGAAGAGAAGAGAAGAGAAGAGAAGAGAAGAGAAGAGAAGAGAAGAGAAGAGAAGAGAAGTAAAAGTAAGATGCCGCTGGGTCTTATAGCATCTGTTGAAAACAAAGACCTATTGTAGGGTCAGCTCTGCTGGCTGCTACTTCAAAAGGTGTGTTAAAAGACTTTCATAATAGACTGGGCGTGGTGGCACACACCTTTAATTCCAGCAGAGACAGGCAGACCGGCGAGATGACGCCAGCCTGGTCTACATAGTATATCTCTTTTCATAATAAAAAATATGTGAAACGACTTAAATACCAAGACACCTTAAGAAGGTTCTTAAGAAGGCAGAGACCAATTGTCGACAGGACACTTTTTGCCCTCTCTAGCCCTCAGTGTTGCTGTGAGAGCATGAAAGGAAACCAGGAGTCACCCATGACAGAGCCAGGCATGGGGGTGGGGGGCAAATCAAGAGAGAGGACAGAAGGCCATTTGAGGACTCTGAGCCAGAAATACATTGTTGATGCCACCAAGGAACCTCAATAGGTGAGGCCTCCTTCCCCAGCCTCAGCATCATGACCCTGGATTGCGCTTGTAGCCACTGTCCTCTCTACCTGAGCCACAGTCACCTGAAGAAAGGAAGGACACTGCATATTCCATTCCTCCTGCATAAAGTGTTCTTTAAGAGAGGGCACCAGACCTGTGAAAACCCACATAAAAATCCAATTCACATGCTGGGAGAAACGTTAGAGATGAAGTCACAGACCTGTAACACGGAGTAAAATCCATGCACATTGAGATGGCCCATTATATTTGCACAAATATGGTTCAGGGCTGGCCGAAGGCTCTCACCTAAATGAAGAAAAAACCTTGAGAAAATAGTCTCGTGCCATAATGTGACCTGTCTGTGGGGGACAGAAAAATTATGCCTATTATGGTTTAAATGAGAACTGTCCCCCATAAACTTAAGTACTTGAACACTTGATCCCTAGTTGGTAGCACCATCTGAGGTTATGGAACCTTTAGGAAATGGCCTTGCTGGAGGAAGTATGTCACTGGGGGCAGGCTTAAGCTTTAAGAGCCTCACCCTACTTCCTGTTCTACTTCCTGTGTGTGGACAAAATGCCATCGGGAAAACACGACAGCTCCTACTACCATGCCCTCCCCACCTTCCATGATGGATCAGATGCCCTCTGGAACTGTAAGCCAAAATAAACCCTTTTCTCTAGGTTGCTTTTTTTT